CTTCCTAAACTTAGAGGTATACTATAGAATATAGGGGCAAAACTAGTTAAAAGATAATTTTATTAATATTACTAACTAGCATAGGGTCTAGGTTATAATTACTAAGCTAATAGGAAAGGTAGATACTATCTTAAAGGCTAAGAAGGAACTAGAGGACTATTTCTTATAATATATTAGGGCAATTATTTATTACTATATAATAGGCCTATATACCCTACCTAGGCTAACGCTTAAAGGTATAAGTAACCCTTATAACTTTAATATACGCTATAAGGAAGAGGATAGTGCTTATACTAAGATTTAGTGTCTAGTGCTATAATAGTATAGGAAGTTAGAGAACTAAATAGGGGTGCTACTTAGTATAATCCCCCCTAGTAAATAGATATAAAAAGAGGGTATAAGGTTATTAATAAACTATAGGATACTAGTGCTAAAAGAAATTAAAGATATTCTAGCTAGCTCTCTATAAGGAAGTAGAGAAGTAGCTAAAAAAAAAGTAGAGGAGGAGAGGGTAGCATAAGAGATTAAGAATCTAGGTTATAACTAGCTACCTAGGACTATATCCTACACTAGACGCGCCTAGACTATACTACTAGATAGGAGTGTAGTCTAGAATAGAGGACTATTAAGGTTAGGAAGTATAGTAAGGGAGTTATAGAGTTATAAGAAGAGGATAGAGGATATACTAGATACTACCCTAGGAGAAATTAAATTAGCTACCTATATCCTAAAGGAAGAATCCCTAGCAGAATTGCCTATATAAAGGATAATAAGAGCCTAAGGAAGACACGCTGCCTAGCTCTTAAAAAGGATAAGAGAGAATATTTACTAGAAGTTTAGAATTATTAGCTAATATATAGTAGTAGGCCTATAACTATAAGATACTAATATAGAGGTAATAAATAAATTACGCAACTTATTACATAGACTACTTAAGGAACTTAATAAGACTCTAGATACTAAGATAATAATACTAGAAGAAGAGGGTATTACTAAAGATAAGTATGCTATAGTTAAGAATAAAGCGCCCTATTAGTGTAAAAACTAACGCTCTACACTATAATTAATTACTACTAGGATTAGGAGTAGCACACTTAATAATACTAAGTAAAGGAAGCTAGTTAAAGTATAGTACTACAAAGTTACTAATTATAGCACTATCTAGGACGCTAAGGGGAGGATAGTGCAGGATTTAAATAAGGTATACTTTAGCTACTTAAAGTTTATTACTAGCAAGATAGGGCTCTATACTTAGACTCTAAACGCAGAGGCAAGTAATAGATAGCTAAACGTGCTATAGTATAAGCCTAGAGAATAGGGAAATTTATAAGCTAACCTAGTTACTATAGTAGGTTTTACTAAGCTATTTAACTAAGATTATACCTCTAAGGATTTATAAGCTTATTACTACTAGCTAAAGAAGATAGTACTAATAATTAACTAGGCCTAACTATAATAGGTAATAAGATTTAAGTAGAGTTACTAAGGCGTCTTATAAAAAGGAAGCGTAACCCTAGATACCTTTACCTAGATCTATAAAGACCTAGAACTAGTAAGGATAGTAGATAAGTGCTTTAAGATATATAAATAGTACTTAAGGGAGATAAAGTAGGTAGCTAATTTAGGGTAGTGTAGGACTATATACTACTCTATTATTTAATAGCTAGTGCAAGGGGATATAGGATACTAGCTCTAATATACTATAATCTAAGAAACTATAAACCTAATCTTATACCTATACTACACTAAGTACGCCTAGGTAGAAGACTAGATATTCTTTTATTATGTGGACGTAAACCTTTCTAAGGTAGCGTAGTTAGGATAAGGGCTTAAGATAATCTAAGGCTTAGTTTCTTTTAATAATAAGGACTAAGATAACTATACTAAGCTCCTAATTAAATTTAAAGAAGTATAGGAGAATTAGGTAAATTAGATAGATAGAGGGTTAAGGAGGAACAAGAGGGCTTATATCTAGGCATAGGAAGATAGGGTATACTAGCCTAAAGAGCTAAGAGAGAGGTACCCTATAGTAAGATAGGAGAAGGAAATCTATTAAAAAGGATAGGTAAGGATTATAAGCCTAGTAATACTATATAGATCTACTAGACCTACTACTTAAATATAGCGTATAGTTCTACTATAGTATATAAAAGTGTAGGATAATATAATAATAATAGAGGTGCTAGAGATAGGGATATATATAGAGATTGCACTATCCTACCTATAGATAAGTATAGCCCCTAAGACTCTATTAGGGTACCTAGTTAAATATAGTAGAGTCTAATAGCAATTTCCTAGAGATATCTAGGCTACCTATCTAACCTAGGTCTTAAAGGTAATTATATATTAGGTTTAATAGGATAACCCTTTAGTAAAGGTAGAGATCTAGAAGTACCTAATAGGAGATTTAGATAGAGAAAGGATAGGAGTATAGATTAGGAAGAGTTAGGTTAAGATAGTAAAGGAGTTAAAGAAGAATTAGGCTATCTACGTTAAGAATAAGAAGCTTGTATTTAGTAAGGATAAGGAAGCTAGGGTACTAGACTAATCCTACTTTAGTATAAAGGGGGTATAGCCTACTAAAGTAGGAGAGTAATAGAGGTATAATAGATAGATTAAGTAATTAGAGACTCTAGATATAGTTAAAAAGCATCTAGGAGCTATTAAGGAGGAATAGAAGGCAGAGGGATCTAGGCGCCTAGGGCTAGGCTATACAGGAAGCCTAGTAAGGGTGTAGAGGAGAACTATCTTGTTAAGTTTAGGTTTAAGATTAGAGACCCTAGATACTCCTACTCCCTTACCTAAAGCTTAACAAGCTAGGAACTAGGGTTATAGACCTAGAGGAGGGGAGTAAGGGCTAAGCTTAATAGGGCTAAGCTTAAAGGAGGGGGAGGTTTATACTATAGTATAGGATATATAGGAGAAAAACAAGGCTTAGCCTAAAAAGTTAGGTAGAATAAATAGTATAAAGGTATAAAGGATTAGAGGATAGAATAAGTATAACTCCTAGAGACTTTACTTTAACTTTATAATATTATCTTTTTACTTATATTCCCGCATTAAACCTATATCCTCTACTATGGCACCACTACTATTAAACCTTGCCCCTCCTACTTCTCCTCGTTTAAATAGGTTACTCTCCCTAACGGTTTAATAGTAGTATAGATACGCACTAGGGACATATCCTAAATAATACTTATACTATAATTATAACTATAGTGCATACTATATAGACACGCGCCTAGGATATAGTTATATATAACTATTATATACTTCTAAATAGGTATACTATTAGGGTTTTAGAGAATTATAAAGATAGTAACTACCTCTAGAGCACTATATTTATTATATATTACGCTGCTAGAAATAATTATAATAACTATATTTAGCTCTCCTTTAGGATAGTAATACACCTATTTTAAGATCTAGCTAATAACTCTAAATAGGCAGGAGTACTTTAATAGCGATAGATATAACCCGCTACTACTATAGGCTAACTAGCCTAACCTTAGAGGATAATAGTAGATAATAATAGTATTAAATAGATTTAAATAATAACAATTATTAACCTTATAGGAGTAGCTATAGTTTACTATAGATGTAGCACTTAACTTTAACCTAGTAATAAGCTATATATTATTAATAAACGCGGATAGTCTAAGACTAACTACCTATAGTTAAGTAAGATAATAGGTCTATATCTAGCTTTATAGTACTAGGCTCTTTATACTAATGCTATTACTATACAATATACTAGCATTTATTAGGTAAGTATATTATCTATATATTACACTAGACTATTATTAGGTATACTAACTTATACTAATTACTACGTAGTTATACTACTTGTATACCTATTTAATTTATATTATACTACAGTTTTCTAAAAATAAGTAAGGTATATAGTGGATAGCCTTATAATTACGTAGGTATAGGCTAATTATTACGCAGGTATAGGCTAATAATTAGGTAGTTTTAGGCCTATTAATTAGGCGGGTATAGGCTGTTAATTAGGTAGGTTAGGCCTAGGGATAGGATAGGCAATAATATACTAGTAGTTTATATAAGAATACTAAAAAAAATCTAATACTATTATTACTATACCTAACACTTATATTTTATCTTTTATAAACTACTTTATATACTCTACTAATAGGTCTATTATAAACTACTTTATTTACTCTACTAATAGGTCTATAGTAAACTATACTATGTTTATACTATAAAAAAGTAAACTACTACTTTAAACCTATTTATAGGTATACACGAGGTTAGTTTACACCTATATAGTAAACCCCTAGCGTACCATTCTACAGTAAACAATTTTTTACCGTAGTGGTATTAGTAGAATTTAACATTCTATACTCTTTGGATCGCGTAGCATGCTTCTAAAAGTCCCGTGAGTTGTTACTACTTGCCCTACAGTCTTGTACCCAAATCGTTTATATAAGCCCACAGCTGCAGGCGAGACCATTACAAAACTTATCCTACCGTAGTAATCTGCTTGCTCACAACCCCATGCTAAAAGCATTGATCCACATCCGCGACGTTGATGCGCTGGGCTGACTGATAGCACGTTAAGTCCTACGGCATACCTATTAGCCACATTCATATAAACAGCTAAAGATGGACTTACTCCAGACGTTTTTTAGGTCTTTAATAACTCTTCGCCTCTCTGACATCAGTTTCTGAGATATTTCTCTCCAAGCACAGGTGTCTAAAGATTCAGGGAGCTTGACAGCTGCTTCCTTGCCTTGCCTTTCGTTGCGTTGGAGAGGGGGACCAGGCTGATCCAAAGTCCACAACGCAAACCCGACTGGAGTCCCGTCATTTGTACAAACCTGACGGGAATATGGCGCAGGATTCTTTTCAAGGCTTGCACGAAAGCTGCTAACGTGCCACATAATCTCCTCTTGCTGAGTTTCAGGGCAGGTATTTGGAAACATGGTCATGTTAAGGGGGTTTGTTTGCATTGCGGGATAATCGCAATACCGCACAACATGTTCAATATCGCCGAGGGCAACGGTTTGAAGCATGTATGACATGGCTTCTGTTTGAGTAGCATGCGAAGGCCACGTGGTGTACGGAGCGAGCGCCGAAAACGAAACCACTGAAGGGAAGAGTGAGGACGGTGTGGACGAGGAGTGTGCTTCGGGAATGAGTAAGCTGGAGTCAAGGCTGATGTGAGGGATCCTCGTGTTTGTGGAAAGCGGGGAGGCGAGGATGTTGGTGTTGGGGAAGGGAGTAAGTGAACAGAAAGATGTACCGTATAAACCGGCGAGCAACAGTTGCAGCAAGGTTGGGCCGATGCCGGGGTAGATCTAGTGGATAGCTTAAGCGGCTATGATTTAGCCTATGCGTGCAGGGTAGCCATACAAGAATTTCTATTTACATTTTACACACGTAGACCTACACTATATGATCATATATTACTATATACTTTTAGGGCTATCATGATGAGATTTTGAACAAGACGGGCGGGGATTCTCTTGGAGTAATGGGTGAATCAAGGTAGGTAGATAGGCTCCTACAAGATGGCCATCTTTTCTGATTCACTGGACGGAACAGCCTCATGTACCGTGGATCGCTCAACAGAGATGGCTCTGAAACCAAGCGTCCTTCTTTGCAAACGGCTGAATGTGTCACCCACCCTCATCCTCACTCTATCTACCCTGTTTCTGCGCCTCACCCGTTGCTTCGTTTGCAAAAGGTCAGAGCGCCCATGTCCACCTAGTCAAGCCATCGCCCCTCCCTCCTTCGCACCTTCCTAGACTTGCATCTCTCACTCACCTCACCCCTGGCATATCCATCAACTCAAAACTACGAATATGAAGCGCATTGCTGTGATTCTCGTGGCACTCTTGGTCACATTCACCTTGGCCGTGCCATCCAAATTCTCGCGCAAGAACGTCGGTATGTATAGCAATATGGCAGATTTGTAGCCCTTCACTGACATTCTCCAGAATTGCCGCCAGGCATCCACGTCCGTGACGATCACATTGTCATAGACAACCCACCTCCGGCCTCCGGTGAGACTGGCAGTTTCGAGGACCTTGCAGAGCATGTCGACACCGATACCGACCAGCTACCTCACTTCCCCAATGGCACCGGATCCTTCATCACCACCGAGTTCGGCGAGCCCATTTATTACCCGCCCCCACCTGCAGACGCGCCGGATTCTGGCTCCAACTCCACCATGTTCTCAAACGACACCACATGGGCCACGGCCAATGGCGACAAGCAGCTGATGGACCTCCGAATGGGCGGTGCCGCAGTCCATGTAGGCACTTTACGCAAGCGCCGTCTGTACGATGCCATCTACGCCTGCCTAGACGCCCAATGCAAAGTACAAGACTGTTTCGAACCCGAGCCCTTTGAGGGCAAAGGCTGCTTGATTGAAAACATCGTCTACAACGCCGGCGACAACAAGTACAGCGTCAAGGACTCCAAACTCATCATCACCATCCGTGCCATCCATAAAAGCAAAGAACATCCAGATCTGGATGCAGCAGCCGTACGTACTAGACTCCGTGACAATCCCAGTACAATACAGTACCCAACACTAACCGCCACCCCTCCAGTGCACCACCATCTCCCAAATGTACCACATCATGTCCGACGAACCCGAAAACTGCTACAACATCGACTTCAAAGGCAGCCGGCGCACCACCCTCTGCAGCGTCGCCCAGCAAGCCCTCGTCGCCTTCCCCGTCGTCCCCAACAGCAAAGTCCTCGGCACCCTCTACATCATCTCGCTGTACTACAACCGCAAACTCGACAACAACTCCTTCAACGGCCGCTCTGCCCTCGGCACTGTCAAGAACTGGTTCGACGATTCGGCAAAGGCGGGCCTGGCACGGGCGATGGGTGTGCAGGCGGGGAATGTGGTGTCTAGGGTGAATTGGGTGGATAATCGCTGCTTTTTGCCGAATTGGTGGTGGGATTGTAATCGGTCGTTGGAGAATCAGGTGGGGTCTTGATGGCGTGGGATGGGGGTTTTTACGTGACGGCATGTTCGCAATTATCCTTCGTTGAAAGAGAGTCCCCACCTCCCGTAAGATAGGGCTTCGTCTTCCACAGTCCTTTTCCATCTCATCTGAAGCTCCTGTACTAGACAAATTCAACCCCCCTAGATGAATTCCCACCACACAATAGACCCAGTCTGCCGTACGAATGGACTTGGACACCATACCGACCTACAGTCCACGTCAAGTACGTTGTTGTGCTGAGATAATGAGCCTACCTTGTTTGAGAGGATGGATAGAAGGATTCATAATTTCGGAGATGGTGGAGCTACATATATCCATGTACGAATACAACCAAAACAATACAGACAAGTAGCAAACTAGTCAATATATATATATATATATATATACATCAAAACAGGCACTCCGAGACCAACAAAACCCCCAGTCTCCACACCGCAGCACCCGTCTCTCTACCTCACCACCTCCAAACCCGCCACCACGGCGCCCCTCTATCCCCAACATCCTCTCCAGTCGACACTCCCTCCCCAACCTCACCCCGCCTATCCCTCCCCTTCATCTCACTACTCCCAATAACCCTCCCCTTGACATGCTGATCCATATCATCGAGCTTATAATTCCGCAAACAGAGCGTAAGCGGCAGTATCGGAGCCGCGCAGCACAAAGCACCAATGAGTAAATAGCGCATCGTCTCCGCATACGCCCGGTTAATCGCGATGCGCACAGGACTTCCCATGGGATATAATTCGTAGTCTGCGGAGACGAGAATGGATGCGTAAATGGAGGTTGCATCTGCGGCGTTGGCGGGCGGGAGGTAGAGTAGTAATTTACGGGGAATCCAAGTCGACCAGATCGCGCCCGAGACTGCAGAACCAACGGCGCCACCGACTTCGAGCAAGGTGAGCCAGACGGTAGTTACAGCGGCGACGTGTTGATGAGAGGCGCTTGCCTGAACGGCGAGTTGGACGGGGACATTGAGGAAGCCGCCGCCGATGCCGAGGGCGATTTGAGTGCCGATTAGGGAGCCCGTGGATGCGGATTCGCGGCGGTAGGCGAGCATGATGCCCATGCCTGCGAGGTAGATTGCGGCGCCCAAGGTGGTGTAGTGTTTGTAGTGGGCGGTGTATTTGATGGCGAGGGAGACGGCGAGGGAGGCGAGGGTGGAGCTGAAGGTGAAGACGCGGGTGATGTAGCCGGCTGTGACGATGGATTGGCCTTGGACGATTTGCAGGTAGGAGAAGAAGTAGGGGAAGACGGACATGTAGAATGCCACTGGGGGGGAAGGGTGTTAGTTGAGGGAAGAGAAGCTTGGGGAGGTGCTTGACGTACTGAAGTAGAAGAATGCGATTAGCGTTCCGGCGATGATGGTCCTGTTTTTAAATAGAGCTGGAGGGAAAAAGGCTTGCGGTGCGAGTATCTTGCTGCGCTCCCAAAAGGGGAAGAGGAGTAGACATAGACCGCCAATCACCAACATGGCAATCATGCTGCCATTCTTCCACCCACCACTCGCATTCGGAGCCAGTGTGAGCGGAAGAAGGATGAGGGAGATGGCCGCAGCAAACAACAACAAGCCAAACGTATCCAGATCAAACCACAGATTCCTGAGATTCTGGAGCACCGTGCGGCCGTGAAACGGACTGGGGACTTCGACGCCCATCTGCCTTGCGCGTCTCTGATTCACAAAGAGACTCAACGCCAAGGGGATAAAGCAGACTGGTAAGATGATAGCCCACATGGCATACCCCCATCTCCACGACGCCGTCCTCAAAATCGCCTGACCGACCTCTGGCCCTGCCCACGTGGTCCATAGGAAGGGTACATCAAATAGCGTGGAAAAGAGCGCACGGTTTAGCAGATCCGTCGAGTCGGCGACGAAAATCTGCTGTAGGACTTGTAGGCCGTTGAAGCCTGCGGCCCAGAAGATTTGCGCACTGGCAAAGGTCTGCACGTTGCCCGAGGCGGCTTGCTGGATGTAGCCAATTGTGTAGAGAGATATGGCAAGGGTGAAGGACTCGAGGCGGCCGAAGACGTCTGCGAGTTTGCCAATGGGGGGTTTGATCACGGCTGGTGATGGGTTGTTAATATAATCCATGGGCTGGGAGGATGAGACGGGTTGGATACTTACCCGCAACAACACCTTGCACGGTGTAGATTGTTGAAAGCAGAGAATGGGACTGGAATGCGCTGGTCGCCAGGGGCGTCATCACGCTTGTAACCTGAAGCTCCAGAGATGTGACATTCGCAATGACCAGTAGCCTTTTATTTCCAAAAAAAAAAGAAAAGAGTATCAGCCATTGCTCTTTTCTGATCTTCTGGGTGGAGTGGGGAGAAAGCTTACGTGACATAGGCCACAATCAACGATGTCTTAGTCCACGCCTTGCTCACGGCCTCGATGCGCCTCACACCCGCCTGTGGCTCACAAGACGCTTCACTCGCCGTCTCAAACCCATCGTGGGAAGACGATTCGCGATCCTTTTCTGTTTCCTTGCCGAAACCATCGGCGACCGAATGAGGCTGTCTCGTGTCTGCAGCAGCATTCTCACGCTGTTGTGAATATAGGGAGTGTTGCATCGCATGGACCAGCCGCAGGAGAAATCCACGACTTCTACGGGTACTCAAACACAGAAAGTCGACACACAGCAAGACGGTATGTACAGTCTTGCAACGAACATCTTCTAGAACATGGAGGGGGGGGATCAGCCGTGATCATTTTATCTGATCGACGTCGTGCTGCACATGCGCATCCCGATCCGCTGGTTGCAAACGGTACATTGCGCTAGTCCGCTTCTGCGCGTTGATTGGGGGCACGGCGCTTTGCCAAGTGCAGCTACGGAGCGGCAACGTCTGAATTTTTGGGTGAATGATCCTTGGATGTTGAGCTAAAGCGCTTGAGATGGAGCGAATCTAGGATGTCGTGAACTTGGACATGCGGTAGGTAGCCTGGGGGTACTGAGAAATGCGGTGAAGGACGTTGGTCCCATGGCCTAGAGTGCCTTGCCTTGCCTTGTCTTGAACGTCCAAAACCGTCACTCCGGACAAGCAAACTGATTCCCTAGATCAATCTTATCAGATCGTTAGCAGCTTCAAGGCACGCTCGCTTGGCCAGACTCGTCAGCTCCCTTAGCCTAGGTCATAGGCTGAGGCCTTACAGCAGCGACATCCCTCCAAGAAAGGCTGGGCAATATCGGTGTCTCCGAGAACTGCCATCATGTGTGCCCAACAGAGTCCCCATCGCCGTTCCGACTATGTACGACTATGTATTCATAGGCGCGGGAAAGCTGAATGATCAACTGAGTACTTGTATAGTTGATGTGCAACATGCGACGAAATTCATAAGGATTTCAGAGGTTACCGTATCCGTGTGGCTGGCGTAGCTACATCACGTGGACACAGTCACGTGCACTGGGCATCCGGATTCGGGAGTGGGAAAACGAAACTGGCTATCGACGCGTTTGGCTTGAGTGGTGACACTTGAGCATCCATCGTATCTTCCATACCGTGTGACGGTCATATCTGTACCATCATGTTTTAACATAGAAGCTGTGGCGCACTGGTAGTTTCATTGTTTCATGCCACGTTAGAATTACTGGTACATGATGCAATGCTATTCCTGTTCCTTGTAACTGAAACGATGGTTACGGTACACTACGGTACAAAACCGGTTTACAGTAGCCATATTTATCTAAAGTAGACTAAGAAGTGGTTTAGGTAGAAGAAGTAAACCTAAATAGGGTTTATTATACTATGTATTCTATAAAAGTAAACTACTTTTATTTCTACTTCTATTAATCTACTAGTATTACGTAGTACTGTAATAACTAGTTTCCTACTAACTATTTAAGTATTTTACCCCTCCTTTCTTTAATCTTCTTTACCACCTCTATCACCACCTCCACCACCTCCACCACCTCTACCACCTCCACCACCTCTATTACTACCTCTACCACCACCTCTATCACCACCTCTATCACCACCTCTATCACCACCTCTATCACCACCTCCACCACCTCCACCACCTCTATCACCACCACCACCTCCACCACCTCCACTACCTCCACCACCTCCACCACCTCTATCACTACCTCTACCACCACCTCTATCACCACCTCTATCACCACCTCTATCACCACCTCTATCACCACCTCTATTATCACCACCTCTATTATTACCACCTCCTATTAGTATAAATATCATAACTTATTATTATGTTATATATGCGTATAGCGTAAAGCTAATCTTTTCTACCCCTTTTAGTCTTAGTTAGGTATTATAGCGTATAATAGAAATAAAACTACTTTTTATACTTAATTTAAACCCCTACTATAAAAATAAACTACTACTTTAAACCTATTTACAGGTATACATAAGGTTAGTTTACACCTATATAGTAAACCCCTAGCGTACTATTCTACAGTAAACGATTTTTTACCGTAGTGTTGGCTTCCTACTGTGTCTATCTAATTCTTACATGAATCTGCTTGCATAGCTTCTTACCTAGTCTCTGTGTTTTCTAGTTAGAACGAGCCAGTTATTCTTGTGATGCGGTCATGGTTTGCTCAATGTTGGGTGCTAGTAAGCCATTCACACTTGATTTTGCGGGCCGTGGCAGACCTAGCATCACAGATCACCAATGGTATAATTAGTGTAGCCCACAAACATTCATCCCTGTTCACACAGCTACAAGTCCGCAGGCTTGCAGGTATAGATATCTGCCTTAGAGCTGTGAAATACGCAAGTTTCAAAATGAAATACCTATATACTCTACGCATTCTTGTAGTAAGTGAATGCCTCAAGCTCCCTATACACTAGTAAAGATACATGGTGTTAAGTGGGGTGAGTTGTAAATTAGGAAGCTCAATCAAGCACGGAATGCCAGGCACGGCCAGCCTACTAAACTTGGTAGCAATTCCTCTCTATTACACAGGAGTAGATAATTAGAGTGTTTCCTGGACGATGTGCGTGAATTATGTACCGCTAGCATGTTCGCATAGCATACATAGTATCGCTTTTACCATCTACGGAAAAACTTTCTCCAGACTACAATCCTCCCAGTGCACTCGAGAAACCACGCATAAATCTAGTTTATCTGCACGCATCCCACATGAGGCTACCATCGCCTTATATATATAGGGCCTTTTCACATTAGGTCGCGTGCTTGCTAGACTCCGTATTACAGCCGTTTAGTAGGATCTTACTACTGGGTAGTCTGAATAGAAATAGTGCTTTGTGGCCGGAATGGTAATGAATCTCTTGCACTTGTCCATACGATTTGACATAGTGCAGTGAGAGATTTGTTCTTGATGGTTGCGCAAGTAAGTGGGATACAAAGATAAGAGGAGGAGAGTTTAGGTATAGAAGCGTTAGAAATCATAAGACCCTCATACATAGTATTTAACGTGGAAGCTTACGACGTAACCATTGGAACACGACGGTTTCAACTTTCAATCAATCTCCATACTCAGGCACCTTCATTGGAGAGCCCAAAGCACATTCCGCTTATGAAAATTAATGAAAATTGAACAGATGGCTGTATAGTATCGGTCCGATTGAACTTGCTGATATACGAGCCATGTACCTATTAGGCATGTAACCCGACGTGCAAAAGTCCTACATTGTGTACACAAACGCGTCTTGTGGCTCAAAAAAATATAGGGCTAAAATCGGTCCGCATTCTCGTACTTGCTCAATCTGCGGGATATTCTTACGTTTTACGTACAGTAGCAGGGTATTCATAGTGATAGTAGCAGGGTATTCATAATGTAAAATTTAAATGTCGCCAAAGTCTCAACTATAAATGGCATCTCCCATTACATCTCTTTACAACCATTACTTCGGCCTAAGTTACTGGAATGGGCTGCGCCCAATACCGTAAGCAGACTCCTCGGCTGCAGAAGCCTGAGTAGTGACTTAGCCCGATTAGTACTGGAGGGGTCTGAATGGAGGGTTCCAATCGGCTAACTTACCAGAGGTTCCAGTCAGCTAAATATTGGACCAACTAGAAGGGGGGTAATGCTATAAGCGGAGCCCTCCGCTTATAGCTAGATATAAATACCAAAGGATATACCTAGGTAGATAGGTATCTAATTCATATTATTTCTTTGGCATTTACCCTCAGGGTCAGCCCCTTACACCTACAAACACCATGAAACCAATCTTTCTTGCTCTTCTTCTGCCTTTGGCATTAGCTGAAGAGGAATATAGGCCCAGATACTGGCTGACCAATGCTGGATATGGCGCCCCACCTTACGAAAAACTGACCTCTAAATGCAAGCAAAATAAGAATTGGAACTATTTCTGCGTATGTGAGCAGCACATCTACGGTGAAGACGCTAACGATGATATAGGGAACAAGTCCCAACCCTGTGGGCTCTGAGGATATTCTTCCGTTTCCTGACCTTTATCCAACCAGACGCTACGGTTGTGAGTACGCGGTGCAACAGGAGGGGTCAAAGCTGGGAACATGTCAAGTTAATCAAGTCCCCGGATACGTAAGTCCGCGTCTATCTAGGAAAGCTTTAGTATGATTAGAGTCTAACGAGTTTTGTACAGCTAATTTGCGTATGTCGACTTTGCCATGAAGTAAGGAACCATTGTAATCCTGCTAACAATACAATAGTGTCCCTACTAAGGGTACTCATAGAACTTCGTGAGCAAAAGTTGAATTAGGATTGCAGGCCGATTACTTTAGATATCTTGCCAATCCTAGACATCACGGTGTTTACTGTATTTTTTCATCACATGGACGTAGTTTCTCAAACCGAACTATCGTGATGATTCATGAATGTGATGAAGCCGTTGATTGGCACAGAGTTGGCAAATTCACGTGCAGCATCGTTACTCGTCACAAATCACTGTGACCGTGTTTTGTTCCTCTCCAGCCGCATATCTTCACTTTGAATTAGAATATTTAGTCTTATATGTGAGAGCACGTGTGGAAAAGGCAAAATATATGGGGAAAAAGGAAAATCAATCGGCTGGTTCTTGGCGACTCGTCTGCGACAGGCGAGTCCATCTTTGCTAATATCATTGTTTGATATATGCTCTTCAACAAGTGAAGTATTACTAATTAATCAGTGAATGAGATCGAACTGCAAGAAGTTCATCAGATCATCGACTAGACCTTATTAGCATACCTAGGTAGCAAAGGCTAAGTCCATCTCACAACGTCGTAACATAAATTACGACATCCTACGCCTCAACATCCTTCTTCTCCCTCATCCTCTCAAGCCCACTCCCCTCACTTTCTTCCCCACTTGCCTCGCTAATTTTCTCCCCATCACCGCCTGCCTCCTCCGCCCTGACCCCCTCCCCATTTTCATTAGTTCTCTCCCCTCTATTTGCTGCCAACTCCTGCTTGACTGCTAACTCGGGATTCGCTTCCTCAAGCCTTTTCCTCAGGTCTGCACTCATCTCCTCTAGGCTGGGTACAACCCACTTTGCGCTTTCCCATGGTTTAACGCCCATGAGGTACATGGTGTCAACTTCCTCGATGGTACGGCCCTGGCCTTCAATAACAAAGAAGTAGACGAGGAGGCCGCCGAGAACGTTTGTTCCTGCGAAGACGTAGCCGTAGCGGAAATTGATTGCGCTGGTGATGAAGGGAGTAAAGAAGGCGAGGAGGAAGTTCCAGAGCCAGTTGCTGTTTTGATAGATGTTAGTATCGCTCTGTAGGCGTTTATACTGGGGTTTATTAGTTGAGGTACGAACCTGGCCGTGGATAGGGCCATTGCCTTGGCGCGGTAGCGCGATGGGTAGAGTTCTCCGCAGATAGCCCAGATGCTAATGGATGTTAGTCGTTGTCTTTGCTCATTTGGCTTAGAAGAAACTTACATTGGTCCCCAGGTTGTTGCAAACCCAAAGATGAAGAAGCAAGCAAAGCAGATCATAGCTATGGCTGCGCTTTTCGTGTTCTCAGGATTTTCTCGGTCAAGCGAAAATGAGCCAACTGATGCAAAAATCAAGAAGCAAATGAACATCCATATGGATCCTGCAATCAGGGACTTGCGGCGACCGTAGTGTTCGACAATGTAGAGACCGTAGAAAGTCACGCCAAAGTTGATACCATTCTAATTTTCGTCAGCGACCCTGGAATCAATACCGGAACAACGCGACGTACCAAAATCATCTGCGTGACAAAGGAATTCTTGATACCTGTTCCCGAGAAAATCACAGTCCCGTAATAGAAGAAGTAATTGGCTCCAGTCAACTGCTGCATCATCTGCAGTGCCATACCAAGCACGAGTCGATAGGCCATCTTGGGCGCCTTCCACATGCCCAACCACTCCTGAATCGGGTTGTTCGTCAAGTTGCTCTCCGCCTCCTGCTTCACCCGCATCTCCTCTAGCTCCAACTGGATACTGTAATTGTTCTCTGGCACGCCATATACCTGCATCATTGTCTCTGTCGCTTCCTTTATCTTTCCGTGACGGAAATTGTACCGCGGTGTCTCGGAGAACCATAGGATACCCACCGCAAGAATTACGCCAGGCACAAACGAGAGACCAAGAGTTATCTGCCAAGAGGCTTTGTTGCCCGATTGGTGACGCTCCGATGCGTAGTTGAAGACAGCGGCAAGGAAAATACCGAAGGTAATCATGAGCTGATACGTTGCTATGAGAGCACCACGGATGTGGCGGGGTGCTGTTTCGGCCTAATCGTCATTAATATTTGCTCAGCTAAAGAGGCGTGCGAATATGTACCTGATACATAGGGACGAGCAAACTCAACGCTCCAACACCTAGACCTGCCACGAAACGGCCCATCATGATCTGATACCACGCGTCGGTTGCAGCTAGCTGTACGATGATACCAACTGAGAAGATACCGCACCAGAAGATAATACTCATCTTCCGGCCAATCCTGTCTGCAATGGGGGCAGCGATGAGGGCACCAAATAGTGTACCAATAGACAGCAGCGCAACTATCAATCCAGAACGGACATTGGAAAAGTACAGCCTACCATCACTGTGACGTTGTCCAAAGCGCCGCAGGAAATCGCTCATCCCGAGGAATCCAGAGATTTGACCTGTGTCATAACCCTATGTTTCATTGTTAATTTACGACGGGACCAAACCACTACAGTTGGACATACGAAGACGAATCCACCTGGACATTGTATTAGCATATATCAATCACTATGCAGTATGAAACGCACCCATCGACACCAAGATTCCCATCCAAAACCCCTTCCACGTCAATGTAGGAAGAGGTGTATTATCATAACCTTCATGGTTCCCAACCCATCTCGACGTATTCTCCACCGAAGAGCGTCTTCGCCACTCCTTCAACGGATTCTTCATCTCAAATTAGATGGTCCAATCGGAGCCCAAGCACTGTCGATGTTGGAAGACCTGAACTGAGAATGTTATCAAGTTCAACTCAATTAGGGAGTTGCAGGAGTGAATCGTGCCAGGGAGCCATGCCTGTGCTCTTATATCCTGTGCCTGAGGTCGATTCCGGCATTTCGGAATACATGTGAGCCTGATGTGCTTACTGCATCGCTATTATCCCCAATTTGTACGCGGTCAGTCTAGCATGACGCAATTGCTCGAGGAAAACATGGGTGAGGAGGCAATGTACAGGTGGGGCGGAAGGTTGCGGAAAGATCTCAAGTTGTCATGTGTCGCCAGATCACTACCAATCTTGTGGTTGAATCTGACGGAGAGACCGATGATAGTGTTCTGGAACATCTCGAATGAAGAAAGTCATGCTTTCTAGAATTGTGTGCTGTATACATTATTCATCGGTAGTGTTTACTGAAGCCTAGATAGACTTGGTGTTTCGATGTATTGCTGGTCTTTTAGTACATATAGTTCTGACCAGAGCACGACTACTAGGTAGCCAAGACCTAATGAACCCATGGGGTAGTGCGATGCCGTCCTGAAGGGCTCGGGGAACGATCCTAGCCAAGCTCAGTGATCGGGAGACAGGTCTTATGATGCTCCTTCGTGAGTCTTGTTTGACTTCCGCGCGCTTCCGCTTAAAGCGGCAAGCATGATTCAGCCAACTATGTAGGCGGATATCCACAACCACGTGCACGGAAGGGAAGGAACAACCAGGAGATTCTTCAAGGTTCAATGTCGCATCTTTGGTGTTGCTGGACCGTCGGATGGATGCGAGTTGTGATCCGATGTGAATATCGATCCCGAAAGCCTCTCGACCTGCAGTATCCCAACCATTGCCATGCACAGAGAATATCTGGCAATCCTACAAACGTTCTCTTGTGTATTTGGATAATTGCCAATCCGACGAGCATGACTAGATTTAGGGTTGTCATGAAACTTACGATTAGCTTGGAAAGCCTTAATAATATTGGCAGAGGTGGCGAAATCGATGTGCTCATTTTGTAGAATACGGAAAGCCGCAATGCTGATCCAATAATACCGAGCAGGTGAATGTCCATTAGCTCGATCAAAAAATAGCCTATCATGTAGTCAATCGAATTCTTCACCGCGATCCAGGTGCTTGGTAAGAATTTGACAAATGGGGAGAAGGTAGCAAATACTCGCCGGATTCTTTAGTCCGTTTGGCCTCTATCCAAAGAGAAACAGGGTAATTGTTCGAAAATGTGGTGTGTATTCGGCTGATGGAAGGATGAGATTTTGGGAATCCATCTTTCATGAGTTTGCCTCCTTCAACAAAAATATATGGAGAGATGTTAATTTTTGCATCGTCCACAGTATACAAACTTGTCCTTGATCCAAACCAACGAATGAGCGTTGTAAAGCCGGTGATCAACTGGGGGTAACTCTTAGTTTCGCGATAATCTTGCAGCTTGCAGTTCTAATGAGTTAATATTGTTGGAGCTAAGATTCTCCAACACTTTGTATCTAAGGGAAGAAGAGAGATGATATCAGCAGTCACAACATGCTGAAGCTGGTGTGCAAACGTCGGAGTTATGTCAGCCTATCACGTAGAGGAAATTGCGACTCACGTGGAAAAGTACAGGCTCTTTGTACGTGCAGACAATCACAGCCAGACATATTCTCCATTGATTGCAGCATGAGCAACGAGTAACATATCTGCATTCATCTCGTATCCCATAACACCGCAAAACGCCAGGCTCATATCGAGCGATGCCAACACACCTCCCCATTCACAAGACCTGGCTCAGCCAACCCACGGCTTCACCTCACCTCCTTTTTCCTGCGTCTTCCTCCATTTGGTTACGCGTTTCTTGATGTCTGCTTCCGTCTGCTGCATGGGGTTCAACTTCTTATCCCGTGTCATGCGGGCATAATCCTCGCCATATTTATTCGCCAATGCCTCACACCATTCCATCTCCCGTTGGCTTTGTCCTCTTGGCGCTTTCCTCGCGCCGTTCCGTGCTGCCTCTTCGAGTTGCCTGATGACTGGGTTCACTGGCTCTTCTTCTGCGTGTTCGGGGACCATTGAGAAGCCATTCCATTCTTCCGCCTCACCGTCGCTGTCTTCCAATTCGTTCAACGGGTCGTTGAGAGGGTTTGCTTTGTGCTCTTTTTCCACGACGCGCAGGATTGCGCCGGTTTCGGGGTCGCGTTCCACCTCGACTTCTTCAGTGACGACGGCGGCGGGGGCCTTGGACACGATGTTCAGAGCATTGGCGGTCGATGATGCAGAAGCGTCTGGGCGCGAGGATTTTGGGTCGTTGAGGCCAAGGAGGGCAATGGTTTTTTCTGTGCCGCCTGTTGCGTGGTTGAGGCGGGCTGTGAGGCCGAGACGGCGGTAGTTTTGGGAGAGTGTCTCTTTTTGGTTCCTGGAAAACTATAATCAGTATTGTACAGGTGATGTTGGGAGGAACAAGGCGAGAAGAGGTTACATACCAGTGCTTTGCGATGATGGGGTTCTGTAGGATCTTCTTCTTGGACGGGCCATTCTGGCGCTTCTTGGGAATGGAAGACTTGTTCTTCTTCTTTTGGAGTTCGCGACCCATTTTGTCGTATTTGGAGGGGGAATATGCGTGGGCGTGGTGGGTGTTGTGGGTGTAGCAATGGTCGTTCGTTGCTTCCCCAAAATTTCGTTGCTTCCTCCAAAATATCCAACGCTAAGATTAGGGGATGGCGTATCTTATCTTATCGATAAGCCGACCACCGCCCAAGCCGCGGCCATCTCACAGGCCACCTGTTGACATTTGTTTAGGCAGACCCCTGACTGTTGGGCTCTCTGTAGACACCGCTCAACACCAAATCCATTCAGAGGGTCTGTATAGCCTGTCGCATATACAGCATCATGGTTTCTCGTCGGAACAGGACATTGTTGTCCTTGTCAATTTTTGTCGCAGTGTTGGCTTGGAACGTTGCTGCTGCTGCCGTCAAGGGTGAGACAGGCGTGCCAGTGGGCGACTTGACTCCCCATGAAATTGAAGAGCAATTACAAGTAAGAGACGTTCTAAACCCATCACTATTTGCCTTGTTAAATCCATGCTTTCCTTTTCTGCCTCTATGTCTATGGCGGTTTTGTGTGGCGCAATCATCGTCGATGGCGGTACCTCGATGTCGCGCGCTGCTCAAACCAGTATGTACTAACATGGACTCAGGAGTGCCCACTTGTGCAAGCTCTTAACGAGCACAAAATCGCTTCAAACCCCTCGACATCGTCCATCTCTTCACAAATCTTTGCCTTTCTCTTCCCAGGCAGCCCCGCCGTCAACGCCATCCTCGCGACCCTCTACATCTCTGGCCCTCCCAACTTCCTCCTGGCATTATGCCCGCCCAATATCGATCCTTCCTCGCTTTCCGTCATGGTCGCATTCGCGGTAGGGGGACTGTTGGGTGACACACTTTTCCATCTCCTACCCGAGATCTTTTTGGGCGAGGATGAACACGATCAAGTCAAGTTCGTCATGGTAGAGCCAAACAAGAACCTCCTGCTCGGCGTGGCCATCATGGTGGGCTTCATCACCTTTGTAGCCATGGACAAGGGTCTCCGTATCGCCACTGGCGGTGCAGGTGGGCACGACCATTCCCATGGCCACTCACATGAAAAGATCGATGCCAGCGCGAAGACCACAGGGGCTGATGTGAGTACATCAAAGGAGGCGGTGCGTGCCCGCAAGGCCAACACGAATGGTACGGCAACTTCTACCGCCGTGGAGTCTGTGGAGAAGGACATCAACGCCAGTGTCAAGCTCGGCGGCTACCTGAACCTCATTGCCGATTTCACGCACAACATCACCGACGGCCTTGCTCTCAGCTCCTCCTTCTACGCATCCCCAACCATTGGCGCAACCACCACCGTCGCCGTATTTTTCCACGAGATCCCCCACGAGGTCGGTGACTTTGCCTTGCTCATCCAATCTGGCTTCACCAAACGCCAGGCTATGGGTGCACAGTTCATCACTGCCGCCGGCGCATTCTTGGGAACATGTATTGGCATTGCGGTGCAGGAGTTTGGAGGCAACTCCCAGTCTGCGGGATCACATGGGCCAGGGCTGTTTGGAACGAGTTTGCAATGGGGAGACATGTTGCTCCCCTTCACAGCAGGCACCTTCCTCTATGTGGGCACTGTAGCGGTCATTCCCGAACTTTTGGAGACGGGCCCAAACAAAAGTGAAGAGTTGAGGAAAACAATCACACAGTTTGCAGCCATGGCTCTGGGCGCAGGAATCATGCTTGCGTAAGTTTAAACCCATTTTCTCGCCTGCAACAACATGTGCTAACGGACAATCTAGCATTTCGTGGGACTAGAGGAACAAGGACTGGACCCTTTTCTTTTTCACATCCTACGTAAATTGCTGTGAACCCATGTAGCAGGAAACATGCTCCACAGCCAAAAGTTCAAAGTCCCAAGTCACCATGACTATACATATGGACATTCTAGCGTCTGGCATCTACGGCCTTATGCCTCACACGTCGGTCAGACTTGTATCTACTGGTACCATGACCATTCAAAAAAAGCTCATCAAAAATGAGAGTGAGAAAATAGTCCTCCCTTAGCATCCATGTCGTCCCGAACAGGAAGGGTACAGCGTAGATTGATTTGCAATGGCCGTGCTAGCAGAAAGGGGCGCCCGTTTGCTTACTAGTACCCCAGCTAGGGCGCCTTACTTCTTCGACTGAGCGAAAATTACGGATAGCTCTTTCATTCCCTCTACCAATCACAATCGCTTGCTTGCGCAGTAGCTCTAGTTCCTCCACCCTTGCTAGAGTAGCACGACCGTTGTAAATCACTCTACAATATACGGTACTACCCGGCTGACGTCTCATGCCAATCCGGCATTATGTGTACGTACATGCGCCGAACCTAAACAGTATTTGCTCGAGATCCTGGTAACGCTTGCGTTCGATGGATTGACCTTGTATTCTGGGACATGATTTCAAATGCTTATGTATTCGACCATCTAAGTTATTTAGTTACTAAACCATACAAACTTCTGGCGATTCTGCTCACGATCAGCCTCTAGTCGAAGTCTGTGTATCCCTACAAGCCTAGTTATGAGACATTATCAAGGTGCGCGTAGGTTTAATTTCTGTAATGGGACGTCTCTATGTTTGTCTGCAAGTGTAGAATTAAAGAGGTTGTGGAAAGTGCTCTGTTAGGGTGTGTAGGAATCGTGCGCCTAGCAACCGCGGTAGCTTCAGTCCTAAATATTTAGGCAGCGCTATTGTATCTATTTAATATCTAGTTAGACACGGGAATCATTCACGATTCAACAAGATACGACGACGCGAGTGAGAATTTAGTGTACCGCTTTGCGATCATTGTTAGCTTGAGTAGTAGTACTCCATCTGCCACAGCAATTCAAAACGGTCCATCTCACGGTGATGAGCACCCTGTCAGCTCTGTACCAGCTGGTAAGATAGATGATCCGAATAGGAAGTTCATGTTTCCTTGCAATTCCTGTTACCTAAGGATCTGGGGCCGGTAGTAAGCAGTGTTCTGCAACGATTTCGATTTCGCGACATAGTGAATGCATTGGAATAACCCCGTCGGCTTTTCTCGCACTTAGGTCAGTACCGTGAGAATTGAAAAACTCCTATAGTGTCGTGACGACTGCGACATGATCAGCAACTTGCGGCATCTCCTCAGGCAAATCTTTAGGCACAACAGCTTTCGCTGAGGATTCTTGAATAAGCTTGGTTTAGAGGTCAATGTATGTAAATACCCAGGCAGTGTGTGATCACTTATTTGGTGACCCAGCGTTGATGGTCAATGGCGCAATGACACTGCATCGATATATCGCTATAGTCAAGATTTATAACGGTAAAAGATTTACCTCAGCTTTCTCCAAGGACATCGGTATGGAGGACAGTAAATCTTGTTAGTACTTCGAACATCTCCTTTGATAACTTACAAGTTTCGACCCGAAATTCACAACAGATTACCTAGCAAATAATTTCAATACCCAGATCTCAGCTGTAGACATTCATAGCCGGCTCACAGGAGGCCTCCCCTGCTCTTTCTTCAAGTCTAGTGAGCGGGACCACTATGGGTCTGAAGTTTGGGCAGTAGATTTGGAATATTACGCTGATGTTCCATCGTACGCGGATAAATGGATCTCTTGCATGAGTCGTGTCCCAGCTTAATCCGACGACAAGGAGTACCGTTTCACCATCGCAAATCACTCACCACTATAGTAAATCAGTATTAGAGTCAATGATTTTAGAAATTATACCAACAAATATATCGAAAATAGGCCTCTAGTAAAGTGCTTTTAGGTTTCAATGTACTATGGTTGGTCTAGGGTGTGTTAGAGAACTTACATTATAGGTTTATCTCTGATTAAAAATCTTCTAAATAGTTATTGGGACTTCTGGCTTCATCTAAACCATGTTAGCTACAAGCGTAATCAAGTTAGGTAAAATCCCACGTACTACAGTAATGCTTAGATTAGTTAAACGTAGATGCTGTTGCATGTAGATAGGCACTATCTTATACATACCTAATCTATGACTTTGACAACAACGCAACATGTTTCAGCTATCAATATTCCTTTGTAGTGTCGCCTTAACGGTCAGCGTAGCAATAGCGCGAGAAATGATAGATCCGACGAGGGTCACCTTGTACGATAGACCAGATTTCTTCATGGAAGCTGTCGGCTTCTTGTATGCAGGATTGTGATTGGATGTCCATGTATGTTGTTCGTACTTTTTACTATTTCCTCTTACAAGTGCTGACTAGAAACCCAAATCATGTCTGCTTCTACCGCAATTGAATAATCAGATCTCTGCTATTGACATTCAGCTTTGCAACCCACGTGTGAATTGCAGATTCTTCAAGTATGGCTGTCTATACTAATAAAAATGTGACACTAAATGAGTCGTTTAACTCGTTTATCGTTGTTGGGATGTACGTTAATAGTCCTATGGCTTTCAAGGATATATGTCATACTTTCGAGCCTTACATGGCACAATGAGGCTTTGCGTGGCATAACTTACTAGCAATGGTCGTGCTCCAGCAGTTACAGTAGAATTTCTGTAGGTAGACTCAATACCTAAATGCTGTAGCGGAGATATCTTCAACCCTAATGACCGAGCACGCAGGCTCTAGTCTGCTTGAGTGGACTTCACGCATACAGCTCATCCTCTACGACCATTCTCCAAATTCAAGAATTCAAAAGATCGTAGAGGTATCCTCCTGCTATAAACACTTGCAGGTTGCAGTGAAATGCGCATTCTATAGAGAGAGAAAAATCCTTTTGTTCTGTGCTTAGTGTTGTCGGTCCTCACATGTAACTGCTTACCAAGCCTTCCTTCTAAGGCCATATCAGGTACACTCAACATTGTAGCTCCGTAAAGATGATGTTGGACTGTGCACAGAGTTTTGAAGACCCCCGTTCGTGAATGCGGGAAATTGCTGATCTCAGAGACGAGCATGGTGTAGTGCCCTAGGGTAGTGCTGACGTTATTTACTAAGATTTGAGTATCGCCGCTTGAATGAAGTCGAGGTGAATGAACAGCATGGGACTCTCATGTCCACGTCAATATTGAAATAACACGCACAAAATTGGATTCTATCTGGTGAATCGCACACGCAAAAGAGAGGCTGGGATGAACGACTTTAAGTTGGATCCAATCAGCTGCGCCACTGTTCGGTCTAACGAGAAGGCTAAGCTAGCGCGGCCGCCTTAACCGCTTGCTGAGTCGACTGCTCGACTGGATGGTAGTTGTCGTTTTGCCGAATATCCGTCGACGTGGTTATATTGACGATGGTCCGCCACGTTGGAGGAATGTGTGTAGAGGATCTATCATAGTTTCACATCCCTCAGCTGATCGACACTCCACCACTTGTTCGAGCATGCTAATTTTGTCACAGTATATGGACACTACTATATGTACTCGCGACATTTACTCTCACATACAGATTTGATTTCGAACCTTTACCGGTAGATGCCGAGCAAGAGCCCGGCTTACGGTGTACAACGCACTCTGTTTTTCGGGCCAGCCAAAAGGGACCGACTTGGTCTCTCGGCATCCGGATTAGCATCGGTGTCCTCTGGGTAGGATCTGGGCTTGGGAAGAAAGGAGCTAAGGGAAGACGAAAGGAGAAATAAAAAAAATTCATTGATGTTCAGATGAACGCAACGTCTGCCTTCACGGCCACAACTAACCACAAAGTCAAAAAAATCGAAATCCTTCCTATATCGCAAAGGCAAACGCACCTGTCTCCGTCTAAGCAAAGGTTACACCACTGAAAAGAAGAGCCACAACCCTAGAAAGATGGGCGCAAAACACATCTCTACGAATCCGCTTTGGATCCCAATTCTAAACACCACCGAAAGCGACGCGCATACCGGCCTTCTCACATCAAACTCACGGCGCACCTCTGATTACCACTCACCATCCCACCAACATCGCCACCGGCTACGCTTTTACAAATCTAAACCCAAATCCTACATCCTGATCCCCACCCTCTTCATCACCTTTGCCCTCACAGTATTCCTCTACCACACCAGTCCCTCCTTCCATTCCTCAGCAGACACCGTAATCAACACGCTATCCGCTTATATCCCTTCCTGTTTTCGCCACAGCACCAGCGTTACACCCGCAAAAAGCGATCTCTGCACCAAACAAGTCGGCGACGAGGTGTGCTGTGCATTATATCTCGAGGCTATGCCATGCGTGGATGTATGTCGGGCGAGTTTTGTGCACAGAGATACGATGAAGGTGGGGGAGGGATATTCAGAGTGCGAGGAGAAGTGTCTGGTGGGTTATGAGCAGAAATGTAAGGGTGGACGGGCGTAGGAAACTCTACCTATGGTACTCATACCTTGTCGAGAAAGTTATAAAAAGAAATGGAGCCTGGAGTGTGTGATTCAGCGAATGTCTTATGATGATACGAGTTTACTTTGTCTTTTGTTGTTTAGGATGGTAGAGGGGAGGGCGGGTTTCCGCAGGGCAAGGCTGGGATGAGAGAAGGTCGGTGGATGTAATCTTGGGCGAGATGTATAATAGGATTATCGAAATAGTGTTAGAGCAGACTAACATTGAAATCTGCGCACATTGGCATCGGGCATGCGTTGGTCTGGATGTTGGAATGCAAGACCTGTACATTGATAGTTCGTCCAGTTCAGGAGGTTGTGTCTCACCTGCGCACCAACCTTTAAGAATCGAATTAGAATTTGCTTTTCCATCCTTATTTTTCTTTTGTTCAGGGCAATTCGGCTCATCAGCCAAGCTGTAAACGTTATCGTTCCTAGCCTCCTTCACGCACACTCAATGCACTACTATCTCTGTATTGTACCAAAAAACTTTTCTAAACTAAACACCAATGCATCTTTCTTATCCCTGCATTTCTTGCGGCTATCTTTGTGTTCAAATCATCCTCGTCTTGTTTTTCCATAGCAATGTTTCCCGATACTATCTCCATTTCTGCCAAAAGGTGACAGGAGAATTGCTCTTACTAACACTACACGTCACATGTACGTGCTATGCCTCGGGAGAAGTCTAAATGCTTTAAAAAAGGAGGCAACGGAGAATTTGCGTGTCCACCCTGACTTGGCGTGTAAAACGCCGGCGAGATGACAGCGCTAACGTGGCGTTGCATGGACAAAAAATGAAGCCGGCAAGAAGCGGGACTTACCTTTAAAGCATTGACGCAGATAGGGATCGAGAACAACGATGAGCGTGGAATGGGCCTGGCTTCACAGAAGAGAATGTTTACATCAAAAGTAAAGAAGCTCTGATACATGGTACCAAGGGTCACTGGGATACCTATGGTAGAGGATGAACTGTCTATAGTAACCTTCGAGAAGTGTATTCTCTTTCGGTGAATCAAGTACGGAAGTAATGTGTGATATGCACAACATTGCGCACCCCGCTGTTGCACATAAGGCCACCTCTTCTCCGCACTGACTGCGATGACCAAGTCCGTACATGAGCATCGTTCCTGCTCAAGGTCGTGCCTATTACCTTTTTAGGCCAGTAAAAGCAGCATGTCAGACTTCACAATTGCACAGTCACAGTGTCACACGCACGACTTCAAGACTGTGACTACAACATCCACAGAATCACAAACTAGATTTGTGACAACTATGTAACTTCGCAATGGACACAATCCTCGGCAAATAGTATAAAGCGCATCGGTTTGTACCAGTGTGCAAAGTCCTTCATTGAAACTTTTTTGACGTCTTATAAAAAGCAAGCTTCAAGCTTTGTTCCCTAAAAGCACTAATCAGACGTACCAAATGCCATATCACCGCACATATTCGCACTAAAACCTCACACACAAAAGGCAATGCCCGAAAAACCCCTGAATGTGCCAGGACCGACCAAATTGATTGGGAATATCACTACCTTCACCACAGCCCCTCCAACTACTACTGCGCCTGCAAAGAAAAACATCTGGGAAGGTGTCCCAGTAGGCATCAAGTCTAGCAGCAGCAGTGTCGACGCAACGGTAGATAGCAACGAGGGGCGGTTTGACGCCAAATCTCTCGAAACAGCAAGTACATGGGCGACAGATTGGTTTCTGAAACCAGCAAGAAAGGCAAATGAGGTGAGGGAAGTAGCGAGGAAATTGGATGGGGCGAATATGGATAACAAGGATGGTGGTGATCGTAAGCAGAAGTGAGGTCTTCGTAAGGGTAGATGAAGACGGCAATGAAAGGGTTGTTATGATCGCGGACAGGAAATTTGGCAGTAAGATGGCATGATTTGAGAATTTAAATCTCTTAGATGTTTATAGCAATAGAATCCTGTAAAGGGCTGCTGGAGTCCTGAAATTCGTCGTACACTTTCTGTATAGAGTGTGAATGATAGTCATCGCCGCGCACTTATACAATCGCTGCCGATCTTATATCAATATCGCTTTCAAAGTGCATGCATTCTCGCGACCAACTTTCTTCGCGGCACCATGATCCTCATGATCGCGCTCGCTTGAGGATCTTCGTCCACTGTCAAGACTGAATAGTCTAACATAGTATCTCAAACAGAATTAAGGTGGTGTGACGGGTGCGGCTTGAACAGGTTCAGGAAAATGTTGTATCAAAAGTTGTTTAAGATACTTAGTTGAGGCAGGTTGTGGCGTTTGATTGGTCCACATGGATTCGTTATTCGTTTCCTGGACTCTTCAAGTTTTTGGCTACGAAGTACCTAGGTATAGCTGCTGACGATATGGCTGAATGTGATATGATAAAATATGGCACTTGTGTGATGTATTGTGCGCAGTGTTCAAATAACTAATTCGCAGCGACGAGCGACGATTTTGTATAGCAATGATATGTACCCTCTAACATCCAAGTTATGATGCATCGTGCTACAAAGTATGACAAATGGTATCCGGTACGATGGGCCAGGCTCACGAATGGAGTCGTGGAGTCACCACAGACTCCTAGGACACATAAACCTGTCAAAATCACCACAGAGTAGAGTATATAAGATTCAACAGCAACTTTCAAGAGCAGGATAACATACCAATCTTCGAAATCCAGAACTTTGGCGAGGATCTGCTAAAGCAGCTTTCGATCTCATCCTACAACTCGAACACGCACTGGAGAAATAATCAATTTGCCTCATGGCTTCTGGACCCGATAATAGCAACACCCTTGTAATGAGTCCGCATTACATAAAGAAGTCTCTACTGATCAGATGATGCAGGCTTTCAAAGCATACCTCGGTGGTAAACCTAATCCCAATGAGGATACTATACAAGCCAAATTGTATACTCTGGGGAAAGATACTGGGAATGCAACTGCCTCCATAGAAGCGCAAAATGGAAAGTCTGATACACCCCCCAAGGGAGCGTTGGAGAAAACGAGTACCGCAGCAGAACCGCAAAGTGGGGCAGGATCCAAAACAGTGATAGATAACAAGCACTCAAGATTCTATCCTGGCCATGATGGTTCATCGAGAAAAAGTTGGTGACAGGGAGGCAGAAGTGGGCCCCTAAAATTGACCGTAACCCACGTGTGAGAGAATTATGAGCTGCGCTGGATTGAGTCCTGGTCATGCTGTGAGTTTATCTGCTGTTGCTCTTTAGTGAAATCTTGATAGGTTTTCAGAATGGATTAGTTCTTCCCAAGACGTTATGATCGCACGTGCTCTGCTCATGGCAATGTGCTTGAAGTTCGGCTTGCGGACTTGTTAATCTGTCTTGATTCCTGAAAGGCACGACTATTTTCGTTGGAAAAATGTAGTCATTTAACTCAAAAAGCTCGTAGACCTGATCCTTCTTCTTAATCCTCGTCCTCGTCCGAGAAGAACTTAGTGGCTTTGGGATGCAGTTGCACCGGAACACTGTGGACGAAAGTTATTGAGCTTACGTACTAGCTAAATATCCATAGAGTGACTTTCAGTTATCCTAAATACATCACAAAATACTGCTGCTGATGATTCCGAATGGTGTACTCCTTGTAACATAAGATGACTACAAGCTGCGGGAACGCCACGGCGAATGACGTCACGTGCTGAGACGTTATCGGCATCACGGTAGGTACACTGGCCACCTTTCAGACTAGCAATTATTACTCTCATCCGCGAGGATCTTTCTTTGTTATGTATTTGCTCTCTATCGCCTGTGGAGCCTCAGGACATGTCACAATAAGTCTCTATGAGGCCATGCATGCAACAACTGCTCATAAATTATGATGCCTGGTCTTTACCGTACTGTGATTTCTAAAGTCCAAAAGCGGATCTTGCGAACTATCGCTGCAGGTACTTTTGACGACTCCCAGAAGTTCGCGATATCACCCCTCAATCGATCTTCTTTGCCCCCTCTCCAATGCAGCAAATGAACATGTGTCAGGCTGATTTTGGCCAACACGATGTGCACGCCAAGGCCTATGACACGATAATTATTGAAGCGCATGTTCATTGGTGGAGTTTTGATAGTGCTGGGTTCAAACAGTGCTCTTGCACGTTGTGCTTCAGAACGCGCCCGTTCAGCGACAGGGGTTTAGTCAAGCGAGTGAACGACGCTTAAGCCCTTCCACACTCACACTCGCATTCGCTCAGTAGAGTGTGCGCCCCATTGTAGCTTGTGAGTCTACTCTCAAAAGCATGAGTTTCAGGTCGTCAAGATCCAGTCATGTACACGTTATGGTGCCTAGGCATGCGCAAGTGTGGGACCGACCGGGACCGACAGTATTCGCGGATTTACCCAGAGGTTCGCCTCATCAAGCAATCCATGGCCTACACCCCTACGCCACCTAGCCAGGCCTAACATTGGGTAAACACTCGAGCATGAAACCCACCGCAAATTCGAAGCTGCGTGTTCAAGAACCAGGGATCTTCTAAGTAGCCAAAGAATTGCATGATTGCCCCTTGATTATAACGTTCCACGATCGTTCTTTGTTTGTTGCGAAAATGTTCCTATTCAGTCTAGCCAGTCCCCGATGATGTCGCCAGCCATCACAGCTGGAAACTTGCAGTAGGGTATGAAGGGCTATCAGGATTTTTCAGGCGGCTGTGGCAGCTGTGAATGGTTTCAGCTTGGCTTTTGTAAACGAGAAAAAGGCCTAAGGGGCGTCGTATTTGCCATCGAGTTGACCATATTGGCCCGCTGCCCGTGAAGATAAGTAGATGGTTGATATATAACTGTCACAATGGCTCTTGTATGTCTATCATCGAGCAACAACCATCGCTTCTTCTCTGCATCAACGGCCTTTTTCTACTTGCAAATTCATTCGAGTCTGGTCACTCACTTCCCAATTCTCCACCACTCCTTCATTATCACGTTCTCATTCTTTCTATACCAATTATAAATCTTGTCTAGCATATTCTATTTCATCTACATGAAGACTACGCTCATCATCGCCTCTATCTTGGCCACGGCCTTTGGCGCGCCCGCTCTTTCACCAGCTACCCGCCGCCAGGCTGATGACAATCTCCAATCTTTCACTGGCGCACTTGGAGGCATCGAAGCAACACCAGTCACTGACTCTGGCAACGCCGCACGTCCATTTCAGGTGAAGGGTGACGCTTTTGTCAACATTGGTGCTGCTCTTGCCCGAAGCTGCGATCAGCAATTCAATGCTTGTGCCAACGCTGCGAACGGTGGAGATGCCACTCTAAGTGTATCCGCCTGTTCCACTCAGCAGAGTACGTATTGTACATTGATACAGATTATTATTTGACTAACAACTATGTAGATCAATGTACAGCTAGCGCACAGGGAAGTGCAGTGCCTGCTCAAGGCAATGCGAATGCTAACTCAGGAAGTGCTGGGAATGCCAATGCTAGCAATGGTGATTCCAATAGAAATGCAGCTTCTTGTAAGAAGAAGCAGAAGACGAAGGACAATGCCAAAATCGGTAATGCCAATGAAAAACAAGAAACAATGTAACTGGTTCACATCTAAGATACCATGCAATCTTCTTGTCATAACACATCTATTTAGTGATGCTCTTAATAATAAGAGTCTACATTGTATAGTAATAATCTTATTTGCTGCTAGAGTCATAGAATAAATAATACAAATTGTTTGTTATGTATAATAACCCATGTAAATACTATTCTATCAGAACGTGCGCGTTCGTCACTGTTCCGCTATAGGGGCCACACATATACAAATAAGTTTTAGAAGTGCATATAGAGAGGTCTAAACCAAAGCTGTGTAATTTGTAAGATGCTCCTTAAAAAAAACACATAAAAATGACTTATAAATGATCTCCCCACTATAATTTTAAGCGTCGAATATGTGAGCATAAGGATGTGATAAGATGCTCTATCTTAATAATACTTCTAACTCTATAGAAAGGCAAAATGCAAGGTGGGATTTAACTTATTTAAGACCACTTTGTACTAGTAGTACTTCAATCGAGAGTCAAGCTCGCACGAGACCTCTCCACTAGGCGATTTACGAAGGTGGTTGCCACCTACTATAACAAGTTAGACCCTTGGAAGTTGAACCCCACACTCCACTTAAAAATAGGAAGATGGGCATGCAAAAAAAGCAAAAAAAAACAATGGAGAGATTCGAACTCTCAACGGGAACCAATATGGTTAATGATTCAGGGGATGCTCGAAATCCCGACCTTCAGTGCACGACATTCAGATGAATGTTAGACTGACGTGATAACCAACTACACCACCGAACCAAGTTTGTATCATTTGATGAAAGAATGGGTGACATTAAAAAATATAACGAAGATTCCATTTTTCAGCTCTAAGTTACGGCTATGGTGTGCTGGTTGACTAACTCCTTGCTAGATCTTTGCCACTAGGTGGGGTCGGCCCCTCTTCGTACCAACCTATCATGAAGTGGATTCTTACCGAACACTACTAGTAGAATGGGGCGCCAGTTATCATCATCCTCTCATCACTTCGTCGCGATTCAAGATGAAAAAATAATTCTCTGGAGAACATTACTATTTCTGTCTGGTCAGCGTAGTGATTTAGGCATCAAAAGATATCTTGCCTCGGTCCGGAGACGCGAGGTAAGGACGCAGGACTATCTTTTTGCAGCGACAGACGTTCTAGTAAGGAAAATTTGGGCGCTGCAGGTTGTATGGATGAAAATATTAGTCAAGCTGACGGAATGCTTTCCTTCCAGGCACAGTGCTCAACCGAGTCAACCCAGATGTCATGCTTGCGCACGATTTGCTTGGCTGTACTCAACTCAAACGCTTATCGACCCTTTAGGCTTGGGCACGACTGCTACCAACAGGAGTTACATATTGGCTACAGATCATAAGTGGTTTCTGCGGGGAGACAGCTGGGCAGTAGGTCATTTCCACTCCAAGTACTGCAGTTCAACGTCGAAGCCAGACAAGATAGTGAGCTGGGCGATCAAAGCCATGCTTGAGGATGCAAGCGCTTGTGGCAACAGTCGATTGTTAACGAGTGCAGTATTGTGTATAAATATGCCTGGTTTGGTATAAACGTTTTACATTGTTGTGATATATATATGCTCCATAATTGTTGCGCTTGAAGAGGCCCGAGACGTCAGAATTGTCAACGTTACCTACCGGTACCGGTACCAGTAGGTACGTAAACCAGCGGGAACAGGCACATTTTGGCTGCCCCTGCCGTGAGCGTGTCGGCCACCTCTCATTCGGCAACATTTTGAGCCTCACCAAGATTCTGCGCAGATATCCAGGACGTATTTGTCACTATAATTTCTCTTCTATTGTCGGGCCTGTAATTTGCGGCCGGCGCCACGGGGTCATTTGCTTGACAATAGTCGCGTGCACGACTGAGGTGGCCAGGCTATCGTCAATCTCCGCGTCCGCATCGACCAGTGAAAATGAATATTCCAATAGGGCTCAATGCACGAGTAGCAACGTGCATTCGGTCACATTATGACCGCAGCGAGTATCCGCAGGCCAAGACATCGATCTGTCGCACCTCTGTGGGAGTCTTTACCCAATCTAGTTGCACCAAGTCATGTCCACGCCTAAATAGTCCAGATCTGATCGCATTTCAAACTCCTCATCGCATTTGCGAGGCCATCATCCTAGCCATCCGCTTTGGTTAGGATCCCAGGAGTCCACTTTGATAAGACGCCAATTGTTGCGAAAGGAGGCTTTTTCATCCCAAGCTCAAGGCGCCAAGAAGTGTCACCTGATGTGATGAAAGTATTGATTGAAGAATCTATAGACGAGAAGCCAAGGTGGCTAGATATAGATATCCCCACTAGTCCCAAATGGGTGTCTCCCAGACAACCCGGGATAGGGGAGTCGCCAATGGTGGTAGGCAGTCACCACCTTATTAGGGTAAGCACCATAGCTAATACAAGGTAAGCACTATAGATATAGAAATAATAATAGTCCCCTAAATCTATAGTAACTATAAATATACAAAGAAAACGTCTATATTAGATAGTAAGCTCTAAGATAAGCTAATTAAGTTTCTCTAATATTAGGCGTGGTAGAGCTTTTATATATATATTAGCTAGGTTCCCCGCTAATATAATATATTAGATGCTGTAATCACTAGCTAAAAATTATTCCTAGATAAAGTAGTAATATACGTAAATGTGTTTTAACTATAAATTAAGCTTTTAGTCTTAAATAAGTAAGATAGCAGGTTTATTATCTATAAGGAGTTAACATATTAGCCTTATAGGTATTAATTCTATAATAGCGTAGCAAGCCTAGACTAAATAGGAGGTAGTATATAAGGAAGCTATATATTTAGCTTTACATATACTTTATACTATGTAGCTCTACCTCTTAGAAGACTAGGAGATAATTAAGCTATTAATCTTAAGGATGTACCTAGAGAATAACTTTAAATTATCTAGGTCTAATACGTATAAGGCATCTAAATATATTATAACTATAGGACGTTACCTGCTAGGTAGTGTTCTAATTATTAACTAATATATAGATATAGCGCGGATATACTAGAGTACTTAAAATACTAACTTAAGGTAGTTATCTAATAGGTTAGTATTATATAAACTAAGAAGTCTAATAGTGTATACTAGATTAGGTCTACTTACTACTACTATAAAGTTAAGTAAGCTAATAATAGATTAGAATTTCTTCTATTATTTAAGGTTAACAGGTACTTTAGCAGGGGTCTAAGGTAGGAATAAACTAGGGTTAATAGGTGTTTGCTATCTATTATAGTCTGTTATTCTATATTATTAAAGTACCGCAGTAATATAGGTACGTTAGTAGAGTTTAATATAGTAGTTAAGGTGCTTAATTTCTAGACTAAGGAGTATTCTAGGACGTCCTAGATCTTAAAATTAAAAGCAAGTCTTTATAAGTTTAAGCATATAAGTAATCTAATATTATGTACCTACTATTAGAATATTATCTATATAGATTCCAAGAACTAGATACTTTAATATAAAGATATAGGGGTTAAAATCTGCTTAGATAAAATGCTAGGTCTTTAGCTAGTCTAATAGGACAGTATACTATTCGCGCCCTAATTATTTAAGTCTATAGAGTGTCTTAAGTAGCAGAAATATAGAGCTATTATAGGCTATTCCTAGTAGTAGTTAGCAGTATATCTTATACTTAAGGTGTCTATTTAGGTATATAGCGTTAAAATCTACTTATTACATATACTATCTATTTATAGTAGCAAGGACTAGAAGTATACGTAGACTATTATACCTAATAACTAGGGAGTATATATTATTATAGTTAAAACTATAGTGTTAAGAAAATCCCTATATAATAAGCTATGCTTTCCTCTTAACTATATTACTAGATTTATCTTGCTTAGTGTTAAAAACCTAGCAGGTGCCTATAAGCTTTATCCCTAAAGGTATCTTATATTAGGGTACCACTTTCTAGGTTCTATTATTAGCATAATTAGCAATCTCCTTCTCTATAGCAGGGCGCCATAAGGAAGCATAGGTATTACTAGTAGCTTCTACATATATCTATAGAGTATCTATTAATATTACTATAGTAGAGAAGGTTATTAAGAATAGATAGGTATATACAAGTGTATCCTCCTTATATATAGTTAAGAAGGGTCGTGCTAATATATATATACCTTAGTATCACTTAGGTATTCTTATTTATTACCTAATATAGGTAATAGCTCCTTATAAGGATATAGATAATTTAGAAGTTTGTAACCTCTTATATAGTAGGTTAGAAGTTTGCAAGCTTAGGGATCCTAGAGATAGCGTATCCTATGCTGTTGCAGTTAGTAGATAGTTAGAGAGGTAGTTAGGACTACTAAGAAAATTCTGCAGTAGACTTGTGGCTCTGCTCTTAAGGGTAGGAGTTTATAGGGCAGAGGGAAGGTTACTAATATCCCCTAGCTTAGCATTATTATAAACTTTAATAGGTAGGAGAGTAGTAACTAATTCCCTAGGTCTCTATGCGTTGATATTTTAGTTATTTGTAGAATATTCTAGCATAGGATCTATTCTATAGTCCTAAATAGGCCTAAAAATTTATAGAATAGGTGCAGCAAATATAATATCTTAGAATTAAATAATAATATATTATTATAGTATATAGAGATAACTTGTCTAGGTACTATAGCTATAGCTAATAAATATACCTTGTTCTAAGTAGTGTAGGAGTTTAGTGCCTGCCTTTCTAGCTTCTATAGGAATATAAATATATCCTAGGATACTAAAGGGCTAGAGTTATTAAATAGATAGCTTCTTCCTAAAGAGCTGTTTATATAGTGTGCGACGTAGAGGATTAGTAGAATATAGCGCTATATTTTTAAGGAAGTTTGCTAACTTTATAGCTTCTACCTAGAGGAAAAGTATATTATTAGAAGAGATTATATATTATATAATTTAAAACAGGGTTTAGTTAAACTATTCTAGTATACTATTTATCTTATAATAGTATAGTAGCACTAGTTTATAAGTAATACTATTTACTATAAAGAACTTTTAGAGATTATAGCTAATATATTCTCTGCTATTATTAGATTTAAATATCTTAATAATAGAATACGTAAGGATATTTAGGCCTATAGGAGCTCTCTTAGTTTTAAATTAGGTATTAGTATAGGTAATAAAATCCTTAATAGCCTATAGTGTATTAGCCTTAAGTTTAAGAAACTAAATCTATAAATACTGTGTAGCATTATTAATAAATAAGATATAGTACTAGGCACTGCTAATGCTTCTTATAGGCATCTTTCTAGAGAGGTCTAAGTAAATAAGTTTAAGAGGTTAGGTATGCCTTAGTAATCCTAATATTAGGATATAGTGCATAGATTTTAATTGTTAATATATAGTGTATTTAAAATTATCTAGTTTTGCTAGTACTAAATACCTATCTATATAAATGCGTGTTAGGTTTAGTATAGATAAGTATTCTATTACTTTGTAAAATTATTAGTATATCTTAAAAACATTGTGTGTATCCTTTGCCTTTATTGCTACTACTATCGCCTTCGCCGTTGTAAGGAGGGTTAATGCTTATTAGGAAGCTATTGTTATTTAGTTAATTAGTAGGTATAAGCTTATAAGCGTGAATATAGAAGGTAAGGACAGGTGTTTAGTTTAGATTTATATAATGCTATTAATATGTTATACCTATAATATATAGCGGCTATTTCTAAAGAGGAATAGGTTATTATATTTACTAAAGAGCTTAAATCCTTTATATTAGATATAAGACTATAAGAATAATTAGGTACTATATAATTTAGCGCTATAGATAGTGTCTGTTAGTTCTATAATAGTAGTTAAGCTATCTAGCAAAATGTAGCAAAGTTAAATAGTGCCACTTCCTTAAATAGGGAGCTTAATACTGCCAGCTATAGTAATAGTACCTAACTTCTTAGTTAAGGACACAAAGTTATTAGCGCAGCTAGATATATACTTAGAGGCACTAGTATTAAAGAGCTATTATAGTAGGTTAACTACTATAGGTTAGCGTATAGCGGCGTATGCACTTACTAGTCTTAAGCGTTTACTATTTAAATTTAGTAGTAGGCGTAATAGTAGTAGTAAAGCTATTAGATCTATATAGGTATAGGTAGAGTAACTAATAACTATAATAGAGCTATTAGATTCTTTAGCTTTGCTAGGGGGTTTAACAGCGGTAGTATTATTTGCCTTCTACTTCTTAGAATTTGTAGGTGCGTCCCCCTTTGCTTAACTCTCCTTATATTTTTTAAGAGTATAGCAGGTAGGGTAGAGGTAGCTAATAAATAGTAGGTTATGCTTGCGACACTATATATATTCTAGAACACTATTTAGTAGTTTAGTAGATATAGGTTTTCTAGAAGCTATCTATCTTACTACGTAAGTGGCAGAGGAATCTACAATATCTAAGGAGTGCTTTTCTAAGATATTAAGGATCTTAGGTTTAATATCTTAGAAGGCAGTAATATTCCTAGTAGATAGATTATTAATAATATTATCTATAGTTTTAGGTAATATAGCTAGAAAGAAGGAACCCTTAACCTAGTTAGAATTAAATATAGCACGTATTACTATAGCTATAGGTTATGTAGATATTACATAGTATTTAGATATACGCTTCTATCTCTAATAAAATTTGTTAAGGTAGATTCTTAGGTTATCTCTATTATAGTAGTAAAGGTTTATTAGCAACTAAAATAATAAGATTAAGGTATTACCTATATCCCTATTAAACCTATTTATAAGATACTTCTAGGCCTCTAGGGAAGTATTATAAGAGGCTACGCTTATAGTAAGGTTATTATACACTAATAAGAGAAGTATAATAAGAGCTTTATTATCTTATTTATCCTAGTCTTTAGCTTTAAGAGGAAGCAAAGGCCTAGGCTTCTTCCCTAATAGAACTAGCTAAATGCCTGCGTACCTAAAGGCTATAGTCTAGGCTAACCTCTATTCTAGATAGTTCTCTCCCTAAGAACCTAATTTAGGGAGTAAGGAAGGGTCTAGTCTAAAGTTAAATGCTAGTTTTAAGGATGCTATAACTAGTAATAGAGGCAGTAATAGGGGGAGAGCTATAGTTAATAGAAGGTTAGGGTATAAGATAGGTGTAACCTCTAGTAAATTAGTCTCTAAAGAGCTAGAGTAGTGTAGGGATAAGCTAAATAGGTTCTAAATAGAAGCTATAATAGTAATAGATATTTAGCTTATAATATAATAGAAGTAAGATAATAATTAGAAAAGCTATAATAAAGGGCTATAAAGGCAAAGGAGTAAGATAGTGTTGCTAAATACTAGTAGAGAGCCCAGGCTTATAACCTAATGTGATAAAAGTATTAATTAAAGAATCTATAGACAAGAAGCCAAGGTGGCTAGATATAGATATCCCCACTAGTCCTAAATAGGTGTCTCCCAGACAACCCGGGATAGGGGAGTCGCCAATGGTGGTAGGCAGTCACCACCTCATCAGGGTAAGCACTATGGCTGATACAAGGTAAGCACTATGGATATAGAAATAACAACATCACCAGGGGTTCCTCAACCGCATACCAGCGCTGTGGAGAAACGCAGCCAAGAGAGCTGCGTCGTCCTTTCACGCCTTCATGTGTGAAGCTCGGGGATCGATGCTCATCTGGACAGAAGACGCCTCGACTAACCTCCTTGAGTTGTTACACCACCCTTACAGGTGAACGAAAAGATTGGGTATGCACGCCTTATTGGGTTCTGTTCCGAGAGCTAACATATCATCACCCTGTATTATCTTGACTTGAACAACGGGATATGTAGTAGGGAACGGTTCTCCGCATATTCTACTTGAGTCGAGCTTTGAGCTATCCTGGCTTACGGTACTACCATGTCCTCAAGGTTGTTACCAGTGCACGGACTGAAGGGCAAGCTCAACATCGCGGTCAGTGGCCCGCAATTGCAACAACATACGGTTGCTTGACTAGAATCCATGTTGGGCACCACGCTTATCTATGCTTGGCTTCGCGTCACAAAACTTTCAAGCATACATCAAACGGTGGGACATGCTTGGCAAGTGTCCTCGCAAGGCATCGCTCTGCCATGGCCGCCATGCCTTGCTTGCGACTCTTGGCGCGGCTTCACAAAAGTTTCAAGACTACTCAAAACAGTGGGCTGATCTTGGCGGAGGCCTCGATGGCGAACTGCGGCTATCACGTTCTTTGGACGATGCGGTCGAGTATAAAAAAGAGATTAGCCCACTTTTTTACAACTCCAGTCCGGCCACTCACTTTACTTCCATACCTGAACACTAATTTGTTAATTGTCGCCGGCCGACTTTCAATCACTTATTTTATTGGTCACTCTTCGTCAATCAACTACCACTCGCTCCCCGACAGTCAATTTCATCATCTAATCGAAAGATTCATCCTTCCACATAACCGAAAACATGCTTCCTCAACACGTCCTCATCGCCCTTGTGGCCACTGTCGCTGCTGTACCGTTGAACATCAACTTGGGCGCCTACTCTCCCGCCTTGGTAGTCGGTGATGGCGAGATCTCTCTAGGATCGACCGAATCAGCATCAGAACTGATGGCGACGCTTGCCTCAGGTGCTGCAGAGAACGGAGGAGCAGCCGAGGGCGGAGCCCAAGCAGGTCAGCAAGAACAACCAGCCGGTGGCGAGCAGCCTCCAGCAGAAGAGGCAGCAGCACCTGCAGAGCAACCAGCTGAACGAAGAACAGCTAAGCGATCACCCATCCTCCGCCGGGCCCTTGACAACATCTTCGGAAAACGCGAAGCTGCGCCCGAGCCTAAGATGGCAGCTGTAGAGGGCGCCATGGAGTGGATCAAGCGTGATCTCGAGGGTTTCAATGCAGCGCTTAGCTATGCCCGTGAGGCCATGAAAGATGCGCCCAAGATCGAGCTCGGTACCGAGAACTCCGGCATTGGTATTCTCGTCAATCCCGGTGTCAATGTTCCTCAGGACTCCGCTGCTGCTGGGTCATCGGAGAAGCGCAAGCGTGAGGAGAATGCCGCTGAGGTTGTCTCCGAGAAGGATGCGCCAAAGATGACGCTTGTTGCCATTACTGAAGTATAAAGGATCACTCATTGATACACGCAAGCATGAAGACGATGCAAAGGGTCATGGGTTAGACCATGGGTTGTACGATTCTTATTGGAGGCATCAGGAGACATTGTACATGGAGGTCCGCACAATGCAGCGTTGGTTTCTTTCTAGCAATAATCAGCAGGATCCTCGCAGAGGACCGGAAGATGAGGAGTTTGGGTGATGGCACTTGTACAATGGTAATCTTAGGGTATGGACGAAGAAAGATCCAATAAACGAATATGTGATCAATAACTCTCCCATTCGACCGTCCAGTAACCCGTGTAGCCCTACAAATCTGCATGAGTGTGTTCCACGAGTGGTGTCTGGTGGCCACGCAATCTTCATGCTTACGTCCCATACACTGTGGCGATGTCTGGATTGCATTACTGGTCAAGCTCCTGCCAAGTCACAAAAGTCTCAGTGGCGTCTTGGTAAGTATCCAGGATTCAGCGCGGAGTGTGAAACACCACCCTGTCCGCGGGGATGATCCCCGAAGACTTGCTGGTAAAGCGGAGTTCAGCACGCGAGCATCATGAATCGACTAAAGCAAAAAGCATTTTCTGGAAAAAGTATCTAGTTGCTCCATAAGAAGTTGATATCTACGCCGATTGAGAACAATCGCCTATGATGGCTGGGGTGTCACTACAGATATTGAAGACTTACATACTACAAGTATGGCACATGACTGACTAATTCCACCATAAAATTGTCTGGAATCAAATACTGCATGATTGTTTGTCGCAATCTGCGCCGCAATTGGTAAGTTCCTGTCCTCATTCGTCGTAGCAGGATTTCGAAGGGAACGAACAGCAAAGTATAAGTATTCTTACCTTCAGTATATTTGATATAGAATATGGACCGTCTGTTCTTCGAAATAAATTTGATTAGGATATGACGAAATCCGGCTTGAACTGATGAAATACATTAGAGCAATTCCCTGCCCTTACTCCACTTGATTGGACGTCTACCAAGTTTGACAACGATAGGTGAAGGAACTGGGGTATATCGAATGCTCAGCGCGTCCCAGTTTAACTCAACATGGTATTTTGCAATAAAAAATATGGATTCAGGTCAGCATTTGATCGATGGCTAGCGATCTTGCAACCTGTTCATCCATCTGTGTACATGTAGTCCCAGGAGCCCACCAAAGAGCACACGATCAATGAGGCCCATCATCGGCAACAGTCTGCCAAGTTTCCAATTTCATCCTTTGGCACTGACTGTGTCAATTTGAAATATCATAGTCCCGAAATCTTCCACACCAAATACACACAACATTCCTCGATGGCGATGGCGCAAAGTAAGCCGCCATTCTATACCGATCACCATTACTTCGATTCCCGCGCAAGAGAATGGATAAAAATACATAGGCTCGTTTGGTCAGGAAGGAAGTCGCAGCCCGTATACCTAGTGATGAAAGTCATTCTGACCATGACGCATAGCTCAGCGGATAACCATAATCAACGCGATATGGCACGCAAGACCACGAGTGCGGCAACATTTCGACAGTGCTAGAGGGGAAAATTCGGCCAGGCTTGCCGACCTGGCTCGTGATACCTGATATTCCATATACAAAAGCGCAATCTACTGCTGCAAAAAATGGTGGGACATTCCGAGGGCTGGAGGAGGATACAGATGTCACTCCACAGCCTATATGAGGAGCTGCTCAGTCCAATTTACCTATGGATAGAGAGCTTCAGATGGAGGTACCTGAACCATCTCTGATAATACCGGAGGCTCAACCAGAACTACCACAGAATCGACCAAAAATAGCACGGACTCTCCCAAAGATAAATGAAACTTCATCAGAGCTACCAAACTTCAGGTCTGATATCCCTACAGAGCCTCGGCCAAGTGATCCAGCAATTAACAAACCTCAAACATCCGCTAACCCAGCACACAGAACAGAGCCCAACGAACAGCCTTATAGCTTTTGGTCACTCACCATATGGGTTGACGAGTTTGTATACAAGTCCACAGATCTGCAAAGAGAAAGTGATATCAGACAAGCTTGGCTTTATGGCACTTGGTACATTGTTCGTCAGCTCCAGCACTACGGTACAAAACCGGTTTACAGTAGCCATATTTATCTAAAGTAGACCAAGAAGTGGTTTAGGTAGAAGAAGTAAACCTAAATAGGGTTTATTATACCATATATTCCATAAAAGTAAACTACTTTTATTTCTACTTCTATTAATCTGCTAGTAACTATTCAAGTATTTTACCCCTCCTTTCTTCAATCTTCTTCACCACCTCCACCTCTACCACCACCTCTACCACCTCCACCACCTCCTATTAATAGAAATATCATGACTTATTATTATTTCATATGTGCGTCCAGCGTGACGCTAATCTTCTCTACCCCTTTTAGTCTTAGTTGGGTATTATAGTGTATAATAGAAATACAACTACTTTTTATACTTAATTTAAACCTTTACTATAAAAGTAAACCACCACTTTAGATATATATACTGGTAGAAACGTGGGCCGTTTACACCTATACAGTAAACCCCTAGGTCACCATTCTACTGTAAACAATTTTGTACCGTAGTGCAGGAGAATACTAGAGATTGGTTTTTGTTACATGTTCAGACTAACGTTACGCACAATATTATCGATATGACTTTAGTTCCCGATTTTCATACCATATAGCCCTTAGTTTGCTGACGTTGGTCTGAGAGTGGTGATTAAGGAGAGGAAATTCTCTCCCCAAAAATGGCGAGATCTCTGGCGGTGAGGAGATCGCCGTCCTCCCTAGATATAGATCCATGAGCTGGTGGAAGAGTGTTGAACTTATCAGTCTGAGTTGTGTCAGAGTTTTGCTCATTGTCGTGGGAGCAGAATTTACATGAAGAAAATCACTTCTCAAATTTTGAGGACTATCATGACAAGAATGCGGTTGTGAATATCTTGGGATGGAAAGATATGGGTAACCTCCTGGAAGCTTTCATATGGCACGTTTTCAGGGCATTGGTGCCCGCATGCCTTGTTTTGCACACTGGTAGCTATGAGGAGGATGACGATGTTTTTGGGTGGAAGCCTATTACGCATTGAAATAGGCAAGTGAGAAACTTTTACCTGCGACTTGACAGGCCGAATCCGAGGAACATACTGACAATGAAGAACGTTGATCTAAAGCGGGTGCGTACCAGTGTATTACTGGCTGAAAAAGTTCAGAAAGGAAAACAACATGGGGAAAGTGCGCATATCAATACCGAGGTGCGTACACAGTAATGAGTACATATAAATAATCTGAAAAACTTGCATTTACAAGTATCGCGCCTGTCTTGGGAGACTTCAGCCTCGCGTTCTTCACAGTCTGGGAAGACCCGCATCTTGTGCAAGACAACGCAAGCAACTAGATTTCCAATATCGAAAATACTCAATTTGCTACGGTAAGATTTCGATACAAAATAGACGCTGCATGCTAACACCTATCAAGAACATCAGGCTTCATACCCTGAAGAACCGCCCATGCCTCTCGACCGAAAAGACTGATATCTGGGGCATCGGCAATGTCACGGCAAACCTGGTTTGCAATACAATTTTCGAACGAGAACCTCTGAGGGAGGACAAATTCTTACTCTGGGACCGCAGAACCCAGCCGAGTGAGATAATGAGAAGATACTATTGCGTCCCTTTGACAAACCCAGACGCTACGAGACGTTCCAGCCACATAGATGGAGCCTATTCATAGAAACACATTTTCCAGATTCGATCAAGTATTTACGAGAGCTGTTGGAGATGGCGAGATCGTCTGTCTTACCGGAAAGAGCACTGGTACACTATGAGATAATTACTACAGGTTGTGGGACGGAGATTTGAAAATGCTCCGGATATTATGGAATTGCAACGGGCATGATATAGGAAAGCTGGTTACTGTGACCCAGTCGGATCATCTCCATCGCTCATTACTAATTAACGGGCATCTCGCGGAGCATACCTTGCGCCGTAGTGAAATAGATCTGGATCAATGACCAGAATGTCGTGGATTTTTTTAGGGGAAATCCCAACAAAAACAAGACATTGCGGTTGAAGCCTGATGGGTAATGCGGTCGAAGGGATGATAGATGCTTTGAATGAACAGCAATCGACTAGCGAACTTCTCATCTATTTTTCACAATATCAATGTCCTGCCATATATATCCCGCAAAGGCGATAGGGTAGAAGTGGTCACGTTTGCCCCTTGTTTTCTGCATATGGCACTACTTAATATTTGATGAATTTATACTACAACCCAGAAGTGATATATGAAATATCTGTCACCATTTGAACTCCTGCTGCACGAGCTTCTCACTCAGAGCCCACAGTCGTTCAGCAAGCTTTGAATCAGTCGCGTAAGGCGCAGCATCAGTCATTTGGCAGTCGTGTAAGAACACTCCATTAGAATGTACATCTTCCATGACGTTAGTATCATGGAGGTTGTTTGATGTGGACATGAGCTCACCATTTAACGCAGGATCAAGTGCTGCTACCAACACAGTCGATGCACCTTGGTCGCGATTCTTCCAGAAAGTACTCGTGTTCTTGATGGCCGCCTCACCATCTGGGTCTAGGTCTCGACTCAGGCCTGTCCAAATTGCTGCATTCGGTTAGTATCTATACATGGATATGTTTCTGCGGGAGTGAAAGCTTACATCCAGGGTGCACAGCGTAACTCGCAATACCCTTATTTTTCAGTCTCTCATTCAAAACCACCGAGAAGAGGATGTTTGCAGTTTTCCCTTGCCCGTATGCAACGAAACCGTTGTATCCGTCATCGGCACTGCCTGCAAATATCGGTGGTAATGGTTTGTGCATCTCCTCTGGCGGTACTTCCTTTCCTGTTAGATTGTAATCTGAGAAGCGAACAGGACTCAAACGATGCCCTAGACTGCTCAAGTTGACAACGCGGGTGGAGCCTGGCGCGTTCGTCTTAGCTGCAGCCAGTAATTGAGGCATCAGCAAGTTAGTGAGGAGAAAGTGACCAATGTGGTTGGCGCCAAATTGCCCCTCAATACCTTCCTTGGTGGCCACTCGTTTCTGCGTCATGAGTCCGGCATTGTTGATGATGAGGTCCAGACGATCAGTCAGGCTGGCGACTTCTGCTGCTGCTTCTTTGACAGAAGCCTGGGACATTAGATCAAGTATGACGATCTTGACGTCGACCTTGGGATGGGCATTCTTGATTGAATTTGCAACCTCTTCAAGCTTTGATCGAGTTCGTGAAGCGAAAATCAAGAGATCAGGAGACTGAGATGCAATGCTCAGGGCTATGGCAGAACCGATTGATTCAGGCGATACACCAGTAATGAGAACTGTCATAGTGATTAGCAAAAACATTTTTCTGAAAAAAATACTCCATGTCATCGTACTCTTCTTCCCACGAATCTGATCGGCGAATGCGTTCGCAACCTCCAAAGCACCCGTTTCTTGGTTCCACTCTTGGTGGGTCAAACACGCAGGCATTGTGATTTAGGTACGTGTCTCCAGTCGTGTCTGAGAAGATGTGAGAAAATCTTGCGAGTCCCGAATCGACATCTACCGTACTGAACCTATACATCTGTCGTATGTTCTGGATGCCCCACTAGCTTCCCCTACCGGTAGCTATCGGTAGACTGGGCACATTCACTGATGGTCCAAGCTTGAAAGTACGCCGACGGTCAACCTCAGGCACGCTCTCATTACCGTGAGTGTCGCGTCGCTTAACCTATCCCCAAACCATTGAGAACATGACTCGTGTACCATATTACCTCGATCAGTAGTAGCAACGTGAGGCAAAGCGGCCACTCCGCCGGGATTGAGGGGTGCGGGGAAGCTTGCGCCATGTGGAGCAGCTTTACCGGTACAACTCGACTCACAACCCCAACGGCCACTCGTCACGAGATAATACATTTTACCCGGCAGATATATCCCGACCTCTTCCAGCCACATACAGCTAACTTACGGGGTAAACAGGCCGAGCCAGGTTGGTTGCACTGCGTCGGGCCACCCACGCCTAGTGTTCGGGGCCATGTATCCTAGCATCAACTACCATGCCAAAAGGTGGGATACTAAAGGGACGGTAGATGCAAGGGTTCGCAAGCCCCACGCTGCAAGACGACCAAAGTTCACCGAGGAACCGCGGTTTAGGTATCTTGACTTCCTCCAAAACGTCAAGTTCTGTCACTTGAAGTAGACCGAGAGAATTGAAGACAATATAACGTATGCCACTTCGTGCAAGGATAGACGAATCAAGGTTGCCCAAGATGTCTACTCTAGATACCCATAACACCACTCCGGCCAACAGTGAATCCAGACCAAAGACAGGAATTAAGGTCATCGTCATCGGCGCAGGTACATTACATCCAGCCCACCCTTTCAAAAACACCCCGCTTACGCTCTTTACCAGGTTTCGGAGGCCTCACTGCAGCCATCGAATGCATTCGACAAGGTCACACTCCCGTGATTTACGAGGCTTTCCCTTCACTCAAAATCCTCGGCGACATCATCACCTTTGGTCCAAATGCTGGCCGCATCTTTGCGCGCTGGGACGATGGCGCCATTGCCCGTGAGATGCGCAGTATTTCCATTGACCTCACCGAATACGGTTTCAACATCCACAAGTATGACACTGGCGAAATTGTCATCAACCAGAAGACTCCGCCACGCGATGAGAAGGCACCCATGTTCAACGGCCATCGCGGAGAGCTGCATGAGATCGTTTTCAATTACGCGAAGCAAATTGGCGTAGAGATCAATCTAGGTCATAGAGTGGAGAAGTATTGGGAGAATGAGAATGCAGCGGGCATTGTCCTGGAGGATGGAACCAAGGTGGAGGGTGATCTTGTGATTGCGAGTGATGGTGTGAGAAGTAAAGCCAGAACACTTGTTCTAGGATATGAGGACAAGCCAAAGAGTAGTGGTTATGCAGTCTGGCGATCATGGTTTAGTAACAAGGATATGATCGCCGACCCGGAGACAAAGCATTTCTGTGAGAACGGGGATACGTTCAACGGGTGGATCGGTAAGTCTGAACGCTCCCCGATGCTCAGCCAAGTCGAAAAACAAGAGTCGCTAATATGATTACAGGACCCGATGTACATTTCCTCTTCAGCACGATCAAAGGCGGGTCAGATTGCTGCTGGGTCCTCACCCACCGCGACGAGCACGACATTGACGAATCCTGGTCCTTCCCTGGCTATCTCAAGGATGTCAAGAAAGTATTGGAAGGCTGGGATCCAATGTGCTGGAAGATTGTGTCCAAGACCCCTGAGGAAAAGCTCGTGGATTGGAAGCTTGTCTACCGCGATCCATTGCCCAACTGGGTCAGTGGATATGGTAATGCACCCGGTCATGGACGCATCTGCCTGCTAGGCGATGCGGCACATCCTTTCCTGCCCACGAGTGCACAGGGCGCGACGCAGGCATTGGAAGACGGTGTTACGGTCGCAGTGTTGCTACGGAAGGCGGGCAAAGATAACATCCGAGGTGCACTAAGAGCGTACCAAGATGTGCGATATGACAGGGTCAAGGCGGTGCAAAAAACTGGTGAGACAACGAGAGACATGTGGCATAAGACTGATTGGGAAAAGGTCAAGAGCGACCCCACGCTGATCCAGTTTCCTCGTGAAGACTGGATTTTCAAACATGATGCGGAGACACATGCTGAGGAAGTGGGGGATGAGGCGATCAAGAAGGCTACCCCGGTCGCCGCGTGATAGACACCTAGAAACTTGATAGAATGCTTCAATCAAAAGAAAACTCAATTAGCAATTTTTGACTCTGTTGAGCTATCTTCTACCAAGTCTATCAGTTTTTCTGCGATCATGTGCGTGGCATCGACAGCTGTTCCTAACAAGGACGGCCATGACAGAATAGAACGGTTTTGAGCAATGAAACGCATAAGTTTTCAGGTGTTAGAACGCGATGCAACTTTTTGTAAGTGCACTTGGTGGCCGTCTGAATTGCTATGTGTAGTGCAAAGCATGTTCTCCATTCAATATAATTATCTCACAAACGTGTTCCGTAGAACTGTCCGAACAGTCAGTCCAGCCTGACACAGCCATACACCTCAACCTATCCCAGCTTTCTATTATTCAGTCTTGGACACACCAACAACTTCAAGTCTCTCAACACCGTCCTCCTTCTCGGTACTCGTACTACCCGTCCTACCTACGACCTTCTCATCCGCACCCATCACCGCCCTTCCAACGCAGACGTACTTTCTGAATTTGCGCGCTGAAAGCCTAGCCTCAAACATCTCATCGATTTCCTCCAAAGTGCGGTTTTTAATTTCAGGAAGATAGAAGTACACCCACAGAACAGTGACGAGACAAGAGGGACCCCAAATCCAGCCTATCGATGTATTAGCAAACCGCTTTTTAATGGGGTATGAGCAACTTGCCATATTCGGGACCCCAGTTCAGCGCATCAGGGTTGATGAAGTACGGTGCGGTGAAAGTAGCGAGCCAAGCGCCAGCGAAACCGACAGCCGCTGCAACGCCGAATGTGTAGGAACGGAGACGCTGTGAGGGGATTTCGCCACCGGAGAGCCAGGCGTAAGCCGCAATCATACCGTTGTATCCGGCGATGTAGATGATAGAGAGACCGACGATGACCTGCTTCATGTTAGAGAAAATGATATGATCGTGCACAATTCAGTATCATACCTTTCCGGTGCGCACGGTGCCTGGTTCGACATGGTAGACGGCAGCAATTATGATCTGAGTAATACCACAGATAGACAAGCCAGTCATGAGGAAGACACGTCGTCGTCCGATTTTGGAGATGACGCAGCTGTTGACGATGATGGCTAGTACGCCGACGGCTGTTAGGATGCAGCTATTCATGAAGGGACTGCCGACATTCGCCATCTGAAAAAAATGTTAGCATTGAATATAGCCAATGATTCGCAAACAAAATAAAACGTACTGAAAAGAAGTAAGTGCCATAAGCGATCATGAACATAGCACCGGATGCAGCTTGGGTAGAGACAGCGGCAACAGCCAGAAGCGTACGTCTTCTGTCAACCGGGTCTCTCCAGATGTCGATGAAGTTCGCAGAATCCTTGGTAGCTTTCTCTGCATCAATGGCGGCCTGGATCTCAGCGAGTTCTGTTGGGACAGATTCGGGATGGGGACGCAACCAAAGCATGGCTTTCCTGGCTTGCTCTGGCTTGTTTACCAGTATCAACCAGCGGGGAGATTCGGGAATGAATATGAGGGCAACGGACATGAATACGGGGATGATATAGATTGTGCCGAGTGGGATGATGTATGAGTTCTTTCCATCCATGTCGTGTGTAGCATTGTCAATAACTGTGCCGATGAGGGAACCGATGGAAGTCCAAATTTGGAAGACTGAGATCAGAAGACCGCGGTACCGAGCCGGGGCGCTTTCCTACAATTTGTGAGCATTACCATACTGCCAAGGATACTTTGAAGCTTACCTGAATGTATAGTTGCGAAAAGGTCATGTACCACCCATTCGCAAGACCGATGAGGAAGCGGCCGGCGTAGAGTCCACCAATACTTGTTGTAGTCATCATGACCACATTGCTCACACAGCACAGCAAGCTCGCCAACCACAAGCAATGCCTCCGTCCAAGATATGCTGCGAAGATACCCGCGCTGCCTGAACTCAAGAATGCACCCAAGATCATGAGCGATGAGATGAGCTGCTGGCGTGTGGGCGAGAGATTGTAGCCAAGTGGAACCGAGGGATCAGGGTGTCCAAAGACTTCAAGGAAGCCACGCATAGCTTGGAGTCCACCAATGGCACCGAAATCGATACCATACTGGAATGGTGACATGGAAACAAGTGTGCATGCGAGAATGCATTTCCAGTTGCTGATCAGCGAGCTCGTGGTATCGGTCATGATGGATAGATTTGGCTTCACATCCACAGGGTCATGGGGCTTTGTTTCCGATGTCGTGCTATCGTCGTACAAGATTCTCTCTTCTCGAATAGATGGGGAAGTACAAAAAATATAAGAGACTTTGTTGCTAGCTGGCAAAATGATCTTCGACACGAAATCCCTGGCTTGTCTCAACGCTGGCTTCATAACCAAGCCTGTTGCTTCAACTTCATATGCAGATCGCAGTCAGGCATTTACCCCTGCCTGCATATCTGCCGATAGAGCCCCGATATGCTTAGTTCAAATTTACCCCAGACTTGTGTCAGCTTGTATGTGGGGTGCGGGGGAAGTGCCAGGTTAGACCTGGTCTCACGCATGGTGCTCCTCACGGCGTGCACGTGGTCCATCAGTCTTGAAGTTGGAGAAGATAATAAAGCGAATATTGATAGGTAGAGGCGAGGCGACTCAGAAGCCTGGATTACTAGAATAAGTGCCCCACGTGGCCGATACTGCATACTCGTCGCAGGGGTCTTGTTGCCGTGGCGAACAGTTGGAGCTGTGGCGGAGGCGTTCAATTACTGCGTTCAATAGGCTGGAACCGAATTCTAGACATGTATTCAGGTTTGATATCAGCAGGGAATCACGACGGATGAGCTGCAGCGGTAAATTTGCGTTGTCGGGAAGATGATGCCGCGTTACACTGACCATGAACTTGGGGCTAATCTGCATGCTCTAGCGGCTCCTTAACGACAGACATACTACTGCAGATGGAAACACAAGGGTCAAGAAGTCTTCAGGAATTGGTGCGCGTTGGGTGTAATGGCTGACAAGTCGGTATCTTAGAGACCAGTACAGAATTGAAGAGTCGAAGGCCACTATCCGTAAGAGTTGGGTATGATGGTAAGGTGCAAGTGGTCAAATATGGCGAAGTAAGTCAGTCATTGCAGCCAGGACACACACTTTGTACCACACCTATTCTGAAAGCTGCGGCTCCAGATATTGAAACGCAGGTTTTAAAAAGAAAATGAAGATTTCAAGGCCTCTACTTCAAACACAGGCCTGGTGAACAACAAGACGCGTGCCTCAGTTTCGGCTTCTTCACGGGCGCTAGCCCTCAAGGTCAACTACAGTCCATGTTTGGTTTGCCTATGGTGTAATGCAGATATCACACATGTAATGTGTGCGTTCTGACAGTCAAAATCCGGTAGCGGTGTTAAGCACTTGCAGTGCTCGTGTAACGAAGCGAGGTTAATCGGAAAGGATAACCGGAATTCCAGGCTACCCCAGCCCCACCCCCGCGGTTGATGTGGGGTAGGGCATCCGACCCAACTTGTTCAATGGCTAATTCTTCGCAATATGGAGAAATTCACTAATCCAAAATTGCTGAGCTGTCATTTGTCCTGGGAGTCTGGCTTGGGCATGGGATGCTGTCGCTCGTGTATCATCTTCGCAGTCAGCTTTGAGCTTCGGCTTCAACAACAACCAGGTGCTTGCAACTAGACGAAAAGCGCTAGTATGGCTATCGACCAACTGTTTGAAGCATTGCCGCTGCATTATCTGCAGCATGGCTTCGCCAAATATGGTACAACAAGTGTTATATCTGCGATACTCACAGTTGCGGCGGTTGGGTTGATTGCAGATTATGCCTGGATGTTGTACTTGAGATCAAAAATGGTGAGCTGATGAGATCTTTACTGTACGTCGAATGGATGCTAACTGTCACTCCTGAAAAGCCGCCAGGACCTTTCCCGTATCCCATCATCGGCAACACTTTCCAACTGCCCGACAACAAGCCATGGATTTACTTCGAAGAGCTTTCAAAAAAGTATAATACGCCGTTGATAACTTATTGGATCGGAAGGAACCCTACAGTCTGGATCAACGATGCCTGGACCGCAAACGAACTTTTGGATAAAAGAGCTGGCATATACTGCTCTCGACCGCGCATGCTAGTGTTTGCTGAACTTGGGGCTGGCCAGAACAATCTTGTCAATCTCATCACCACCACGCCTGCACAGCGCGAACGCTTTCGTGCCCTGAGGAAGATCACCCATCAAGGCGTTGGGATTCAACAAGTGAAGAAATATCGCAACTTTCAGAATGATGAAAGCAAAGTCGTTGCGCTTGACTTGCTCAGCAGTCCCGAAAACTACGTTTCCCACTTCGAGCGGTATGCTACGAGCGTTGTATCAATCATCGGCTTTGGCAGGCGGGTGGAAAGTCATGAAGACCCCATCATTACTGAGGTCATCGCGTTGATGCATCGTGCAGCCGACTTGAACGTTCCAGGGAAGACTTTCCCAATGCTAATGGAAACTTTCCCAGTTCTAGCAAAAGTACCCACAGAGTATGCACCTTGGAAGCATGGCATGGGATCCAAGAAGAAGTCGCATCGTGGACACGACTTTTTCTACTCTTTGGCCAACGAAGCTAACGAGAAACCTGGGCACGAGGATTGTTATGCAAAGACACTTTTCAGAGAACGGGAGAAATACAACTTGACACCCAAGGAGATCTCGGCTTTGGCAGGCAACTTGTTCGGTGCTGGATCTGACACTTCTAGCAGTACGCTCATCACTGCTGTCCTGGCCATGCGTGCTTTCCCTGAGACCATGGAAGCTGCATGGGAAGAACTAGACCGCGTTGTTGGACCTGATAGAAGTCCTTCATTCGATGACGATGCCAATCTGCCTTACATGCGAGCTTTCGTAAAGGAAGTCTTTCGCTGGCGATCAGTTGCAATCATTGGAGGGCAGCCCCATGCGCCAGTGGAGGATGATTATTACAACGGTTATCTGATTCCAAAATCTACATGGGTCCAAGGCAACGTCTGGGCGATACACCACAATGAGCGTGATTTTCCTGATCCTGATCGCTTTAACCCAAACAGGTTTGTGAAAGACCACCCAGATTCTCGGCCATTCCCGGGAGAGCGGGGTTACATGACATTTGGTTGGGGACGGCGGGTATGCTCCGGTCAGGCACTGGCAGAACAGGGTACGTGGTTGACGGTTGCGAGGCTGGTCTGGGGATTCAAAATTGAGCCAGCGCTCGACGATCGCGGAGAGCCGATCCCGGTAGACATCTTCGACTACACGTAAGCAGTTCCACACAAGAATAGGAAGACATGCTAACATGCGCTCAGGAACGGTCTCAATATGAGGCCGAATATCTTCAAGGTTAGCATCAAGCCGAGAAGCGAGAGAATCCGGCAAGCCATCATTCGAGAAGGGGAGCAAGCGCTTGCAGACCTGGCTCCGTACGAGGGTGAAACCAAGTACCGCATGAGTACTTTTTACAAAAGATAGGCAAAAAGGCGAGTTCTTAGGTCGACTCATCAGTTGCTCACGCCATAAAACTT